GCTACCAGCCTTCGGCTCACATTTGTTCAGCTTTCCTATGACACAGTTGTGTCCCACATATCCTCAGGCTTTGGCATTTAAACCATGTTTTCCCTCCGCACCCAGGGACTGCCTGCTCACAATTTTTTCTTCTGTGGTCTCCCCTGAGGCTAATTATTTTTTTTCCCCCCATTTCTGTTAGTAGGAAACTAAACATGAGGTTTGTGGGCATATTACAGTGCAGTCTCAAAGTATTTCCTCTAACTCCTGCTGGGCTATCTGAATTGGCACCCTGCCTATCTAACTAGGCTTTGTTCTATGAAGGAAGACAGGAGAGAAGATGGAGGAAGAAGAGCAGCACAAACCTGGGATGTAAAGCCCCTTCAGCTTAGTTTCTGAATGGTATTTACATGGTTATACCGAGCACAGCACAGAGCATAGCAAGTTCTGCACAGTTCCCTGCAAAACTACATACATGCGCAGAAGTTTGGCCTGTGCATAAGTGTATGGCACCAAATCCAGGCTGCTGCCAACCAGCTGTATGTACATGGGAGCAGACGTTGTTTGGGCCACCTGGATTTTCTCCTGGCAACATTACACACATTTTTGTACTTCATGCAGTTTTACTCCGCTGATTGAAAATTTCAAGACAGGTTAGAAATTAAGAAACTGTGTTGAAGTGTCCTTTAAATTGCAAAGTCACCAGTTTGGATATTAGAAAACAGTAGATATGAAGTTCTCTGCCTTTGTAATTGTGGACCTTTTTGAAATCTTCCTGCTCAATGATTCAGGCATAGATCCTGTGCTGTGCAAAGGTGGACATATAAGGAGATAGAATTAAGGTTGCATAAAGCTATCTGTATACAGTCCTGATTTTCAAATCTCATCTCTTCAGTTTAAATTTATTTTTAAATAGATACCTACATTTTATTGAGGGGTGCGATACCTAAAGTATATGTATTTGGATTTTATGAAAAGAAAAAAACACCTCCTGCAGCACTTCAAGCAAGCGTTGGTCACATCCCTTTGTGGTGAAGAACAGAGTACAAGACTGTGGCTCTGACTTCTGCGTATCAGTTAGGAACATGGGACAGCACTTATCCCAGTGAGAGGAGCAAAGTAGCGGGTTTTCAGTTCAACAATAAGCTAGAAGAAGTTCAGAGGAGAAAAGGGACCATAAATTTCAAAGCTGTTGTCTTCAAAAGCTGCCAGCAGCTTTTAGCCATTACAACACTGTGCCACCAGCTACTGCTGTTATGGTAGGATGAGCCCCAAGTTGGTATTTCGACATAGAAGACAACTAGACTTTCATCTTAAAAATACTAGGTTAGTAATAGTATTAAAACTAAAAACAAACTCTAGAGCTTGTTTAAATCTCACCTAAAGCTATAAAACATCTCACAGGAGTGTTTCCTTACTATCAAGTACTGACATAGACAATCGAAGGAGGCACTAACACTTCTTAAAACAAACAGCAAAAAGTAGTTCAGCAGTTTCTTAGCTAGTGGAAATAGCACAAAATTGAAATAGATATCACCCTAAGGTTTATAGTTAGAAAAAATACACAGTTTTAAAAATAAAAAGAATAGATACTGTTATTAGTAAATTCCTCAGAGAATTTCTTCATTAGCATTATTGAGCTTTTTCATGTAGAAAACATTAATAAACCAGTAATGCCAACCCTGATGAATACTGCCTGAAACAAAGTAAAAAAAAAAAAGAAAAGTTGACTATCTGCTTCCTTTCTTGTCTTTAAGCTCTTTACATCAGAACTCAGAAGTAATTCCAGCAATTCCTTGAGGTCACTGTCCCCTCTGTCAATGAGTAAAATACATTATGTTTTCTATATACTTAAGTACTTATATACAAGTTATTTCTTAACATTCTTAATACTCTTAAAATGCAGACAGTGGGTGCTGAGGTTTCTGCATAGTTTCCACAATTACACAGGAGTAGATTTCAGCACCTGACATTGCTGGTCAGGAGAATTTATCCTTAACAGTCACAGAAACCCCCACCTAAAATAGGAAAAAGGAAAAAAAGCCTTCCACACATCTAAGTTCAGTATGATCCTGGAAGAGAAGAGCTTCTTGTAAACCAAGGCTCAATATGTTGGTGTTGATAACCTGCCTGGCCCTGACCTCGCTGAAATGCCTGGATAGTTGCATGAGGAGGGTGCTGGGCTATCCACCCCCAGTCCATCTCATTCATGTACGAAAATCTGCACAGCAAAAGGAACACTGCTTACAATGTGATAGTGTATTAAATGGCTTCCAGATCCATAGCATACCCAGAATCTAGATTTGGGTGCAATAGTACAGCTAATCAAAAATGAAGCATTGCTTTCACGTGAGCAACTACAATTTCTACCCTGAAAACATAACTGGACTGAAGGTATACATTAACTATTGGGTAAACAGAAAATGGAGTTATTTTTCAAGCTAGTGGTGTTTTGAAGATTAGACTAATAACTAATCAAGCATCTCCAAGAACAAATATCCTCACAGTGAATTTCCCAGACTGCAGCAGTGCTGCAGAACCTCCTAGGATGGAGCTGTACAGATAATATATGATGAAATTGTTGTCTACCCCCCCCCAGCTTGCTCAAAGTGGGGCTAATCTCCAACTAAACAGAAAAAAAAAAAAAAAGGGGGGGGGGGAAGTAAATCAGTTCTTCAGCCTTTCACTGGTGTGAAACTACTTCTGTGTAGAAACTGCCCACAATTAAACCTGTAAAATCCATACAACAGGAAAATGCTAAGAGATGACATTGACAAGGCTGTGACAAATCAATGTCAACAGAATTCGACAAGTGTATTTGGAAACTGGATTCAGTACTGATGTGCATTACATAATCATTTCATTGGATTCTGAAAAATTAAACTGATGACACAAACAGAATATGACTTTAAGTAATGAATACTCCTGCGCATATTGTTATTTCTTCCTGAGGCATTACTGAGTTACTTGCCATCCACACCACGTGAAACAGAGATTATTTTTGGCTGCCTGGAACAAACTTGTTTAGTATAACAGTCTGCATCAGTGTTAGAAGTATTCGTGTATAACACAGGATTGTATAAAATGGCTAGATAGCAAATGACAACGCACAGCTTACAAGAGTTTTTGGCAAGGATGTGTGTTCAGGCACAACTGCTCCAACAGAGATTTTTCACAAAGTTTTGCACCTAATCCAGTGCAAAATTAGACCTCTCTGGGCCCTTGAAGCAAAGCTCCTAAGCAAGAGCCCTGCCTCCAGCACAGCTGTGAGTGTTCTGCAGGTTTAGAAACCAGACATGCATCTTCCAGTACCTCTCCCTCAGCTGCCAAACAAAGGGTGTCCTGAGCACAAGCCCTGCCATGCACCTGCAGCCATACAACTGTGTATCACTGGAGCTTCTGTGTGTACCAAAGCAAATGTGCACCACCTATTGCCTGCATGCAAAATGACCACATGCAAAATCCCAGTGGCAAGTAAGAGAAATTCTTTCTGCATAACAACCTGTAATGCGTTCAGGGCATTATGCGACTACTACACTGTATTGCTAAAGGGTTTTTTGATACACCATGGTTTTGACATTTTTGTAACTATTTCTTAAAACTTAGCCAGACATAAAACACAGATGAAAGTGGTACATCATGACTGTTGACAATGTCAGACAGATAAATACATTTTCTTTAAATTGAAGAGGTGTTGAAAAATATGTTTTTAAGTTCATGCAAAAATGCATTTAGTCATTAAACCATTCTAAAGGGCAAAAAGCTTGCTTTCTGAGTTTTGGGTTCTTTTGGTTCACGAGGAGAGGTCTGTCTGAATCCTTCCATCTGCTGTGCTAGCTGTTAGTGCAGATGGTCATAATCTGTACATATGGTATGTGCATATATATAAACCGAAATCAGCATTGTCTTGGGCTAAAGCAGGCACACAGAATGAGCTCGGATGCCTAACACAAGAATATTGGTAAAGGATAAAATTCAGAGCATTTTACTTTTCTAGGGGAATTTTACATGAAGCTCAGGAAATAAATATTTACTGGAGGACAGGGGGAGAAAACAACTCCCAGCTCAGAAAACACAAAACCTGGATCAGCAATTTGTTTGAAATCAGGTTTTGGCTTTAGCTCAACCCTGAATCTGTGCCAAACTTTGGTTTAAACTGAAACAAACCTAAAATTTCCCAAACTCCTGATGAGACAGCTACAACATCCAGAAGCAATACATTTATCCTGACTTTGGAGTTCATGCTTTTAACTCAGAAAGAAAGCTGAGGAGGGGATTCTATTTTGGAAAGAGAAAATGGTTTTCTAGTCACGTAAAGAAAAAAAAAAATCTTCAGAAATTAAGTGACCTTCAGATCTGAAGTTGCTATTTAAACCAATCTTTCTAACATTAAATGGTTGTTGAAACTGATGGTGATTTGAGAAGGGATGTAGTTAAAAACTGTACATTCCAATGTATCACAGGTAAATCTAGCAGATAGGAAGCTGTTCTGCCACCTATTGCAGTACCTGGTTAGCACCACTGAAAACTTCTACTCATGAAGCAAGGCTAAAGAAAAAAAAAAGCTTCCATAAAGCCCCACACTTCTTCCTTATTTGACAAAAACTGTAGAAGACATTCACAACTTATATGTATACCAGTGTTTGCACTTATTAAACATTTAGCAGCAGGTTGCTGAAAAAAATTCACAGGAAAAGCAAGACATGAAGAATTCATCTGATATGATCAAATACATTTTTAACATTTCCTTTATCTCTGTGTAGCTTCTGTATTACAGTTTATTGGAAACATTTGCCCATTCATCAGACAAGCTAACTGTCGGAACAGAAAACCACGGCTCTTCCTTCTAACTCTTTTTTCTTTCTTAGTGTCTGCTCTGCTATTCTCCTTGCTAGCCTCTCTTGCGCTATGGAAAAGCCTCACATATTCAGCTGCAAGAGTAGAAAAGGAATGTGCACTGACATTGAAAGGATTACTACCACTCTAGCGTGACTAAGCTTCTATTTTCTTTCTTATTACAGGTTTGTTTTGTGAATTTAGATGCAAACAGAGATGATTGCAGCAATGAACAAGTGAAACAGGTAACATTTAGGTTCTAATAGCACGCACAGTGGATATGCACATGCCAGGACTTTCCAAAACAAACCCAGAGCAAAATTCTATGGACAAATCAAATCCAAACTTTAACTTTTACAGAAAGCAATGCATCAAGAATCTTATATCATTTTAACACCTACCTTATTCCCATCCCAGAAACAGCTACTGTATTATAGCAGCCTATGAATTGACAGCATTTATCCTTTCAGTGGACTTCTTGCTCAGCCTCAGTTTTGTCAGATAAATGAATAAGGATGTATCATACATCCAGTTATTTGATACAATACTAAGCCAAAATCATTTCTGAAGTCACTTCTTGCTACTGCCAAAATTCTGACACTTCAATCAACTGACCTATTTCACTCAAACTGCAGGTGGTTTGAAGGAAGGACTAGATAAAACAAAACAAAGTGACCTGTTTAACTGAAAGTTTGGAGGGATAGAAAAAGGAATTACATACACACATAGGTTGCTCTAAAAGTAGTGCCTTCTAGTTGTTTTCTTGGAAACTACAGCAGATGCAAAGAGCAACATAATACTATTTGATAGCACAAGTACTCAGCTACAGAGCACTGTTTTTCAGCAGTCATTGCCATTAGCTATGCATTTTTGCCAGCTATGAACAAGAGCCTACACGCTACACTCAGAAATCTGCACCATTTACAGTGACCCACTGGTTCACAGCTGCTAAAATGGTATCCTTACTAGGAAAATGTTGCCCACACAATCCATCTTTGTGGAAGCCAGAAGGCACCAAATCCAGACTAAATAGTGGATGTGGTATCAGCCAAGAGTGGCAACATTCTTCATGATCTTAAACTGGAACAGAGCCTAGCATTATCATGATGCAAGAGAGATTTTCTTCGTTTCTGGCCTGACACCAGAAGTTTGAGCCTCCAGCTTTATCAGCATCAAGATTCCAGAAAATCCAGAAGGATCACCCCTTTCCTATATAGAAGGAAAGTGCACCTCACTTTACCTGCTGAGGGCTGCATCTTGAATTTTTTCTTTGATAAGGAATTCGCGTATCACCATTTTACAGACTGCCACTTTGATTCCAGCTCAGAGTTGTGACACTGCATCCCATCACCAGTAATGATGCAATCGAGGAGACTGTCATCTTCAGCCTCATATTGTTTCAGTAGGTCCCGGCAAACTTAAAGTGTTCTTTCTGTTCCTGTGTGAGCATCTGTGGGACACATGTGGTGCAAACTTCACGATATTCCAGTGTTTCCACCACCATTTCCAACATAGATATTCAGCTCTACACACAGCTAGCTTCCCGGCTGCAACCCACCAATTCACATGGATGAACTGATAGAGTTGCTCTTCATTTCATGGTACAACAGCTGCACATGACCATCCAGATCATGCCTTGTCTTTTTTGTTGCTCTCACCACTGCTGAAATGTACCACCCACACCTATCCATAAATGTCTGACATGTATAAATGAATGTCAGTGGGTGCCATTTTTTCTGCATGGAGGAATTCAGTAATCTTTGCTTCGTAGGCACTTCTATGTCAGACACCATTTTTGTCTGACTGCCCCTCTGCTGCCATCTGTCACAGCACAACAAGATGTAACAGAATATTGGCAGGAGGTTCAACCTCTACTGCCATCCCACCAACATCCGCCTCTAAGATTGTGGGCCAACATAATAAAAGAGGAGGCATTACTTTCAGAGCAGCCTTTGTATATATGTAATTATAATATATAAATATAATATACGCATAAGGAAAAAAAGTTTGGTTAATTTACAGGTCCTAAGATGAAATACATCATGATACACTACTTAAATACATGTACTTCTTAAAAAAAAAAAGTCCTGAAATCAGAGGAGTCGTATTTTAAATAATCAGTTTTGAACTTATAACCTCCTTTGTCAGTTCATTTTCACCATTCTGGCTTGGTGCCTGAAATCAGCTAGCTTCTAGCAGCAGTCTGTGGTAAGTGACCAAAGGGTGGGTTTCCTGACTGTCCAGGGAGACCCTCAGTAAAGTATTCAGGCTCATCTGTGGAATGACTTTAGGTCATAGAAGGACAACCAACACAGGGACCTAGCTACATCCTGCAAGTCATAAATTAGCAGGAACTGTTTTTCTATACTATTTTTTACATCCCGAGTCTGTGGGAATTCAGATGTCAAAATAAATACAGCTTCTTGCAGCAGAAAGATTTTTCTGTTGCATCAGTGAGTCAACTGCAGGACAGAGGCTTAATTTTACTGAATCTACAGGAATAACTGTTTTTTAATAAGCAATGCTTTCACTGCAGCTTAAAGTGTTTGAGGAACAAGAGCTATAGGAAACGAGAAGAACTAAGAAAATATCAAAACATCTCATACTCAATCTCATAAGATAGATAACTGTAAAAGCCAAGTTAAGTTAGCTGTATGCAGTTACTCTTTTTTTTCTTCTCATAACCAAAAGGCAAGGTGCTGAAGTAAAAGATATTCAAAAGTGTCATGATTTAATACCTAAAAAATCTGATAAAAATGCAGAAATCTAGGCAGTAGAAGACAGATATGTAGAAAAATGTATTGTGTGATAACTGAAAGGTTATAATTTAAAAAAAAAAAGGATGAAAACTTTTCTGTGCTATACTGAAGTGTCAAACTGAATTGAAACACTGAATTCAGTTATGATAAATATGAATACTTTGTCTCATCTGAAGATCAGTGTACTTAGTGAATTGCTTCCTAAAGTTGAATTAGAATTGCTAAGCCTGGAAGATTTTTTATATCCAGTTTAATTCACTTTGAGGAAAAATAATAGTATTGCAAGCTAATCATTTTGAAGATGAAAAGGAAGAAATGAGGTATCACTGAATTGCACAGTAACTAAAGCATGGGGCTGGATACCTGGGGACTGTGTTCCCTTAGTGGCTTTGCCATTTAATAAATTGTATTCATGTAAAAAAAAAAAAAAAAAAAGAGGTTGTATTTAGCTCCTCTGTTAGAGGGTTATCCTTGATTTATTGTTCATAAAGCATGCTGAGATCCATGGCAAAAAAGACTTGCTTTAAGAATATTTGCAGTTATTATCCTCCTGGGCTGGGCTCTGTACACTAAAGAACACGATGTCCCAGCACAGCAGTGGGAATTTCTGGCAGAATGGAGGCGCAGATCTCCTGTGTTACAAAGCATCATTGATGTTATCATTACTGCCATCTTTGGCCGTAGCAAATAAATAACAACATAGAAAACGATGGCATTATTTTAAATGAAAGGTTGTGCCCACTGAAGCAGCAAAGAAGTGCACAGTCTGTGTTTTCAATACTTTTCTTACTCCACATTTAGTATTGCTCTAGTTTTCTATTTTCAACTAAAATTTCCCTTTGGTTTCTTGCTTTTACGCCTGGAGGAAAACAAAGGTTTACTCCATTCTCCTTACTGTCAAAACTGGAAAAGATTCAGTAACAGATACATTGTTCTCAGTCTCTCAAAAACTTTCTAGCAACACAAAAGTGAAACATTTAGATGTGCAAAGACAATCAAGCTGTTCAATACATGACAGCATAAAGAAATGGCAGATTGTGCTACTGGAGTGTTGGGCAGAATTTTTACTAACCCAGTGGTCACGGCCAAGTGGCTCAAAAGAAAGAATGTGCATTTTAACACTACCAGTTTTACTTATGAACTCAAAGTAACAAGTTTAGGCTTTCTTGTGAAGGAATGCTGAAGTGCTGTGTCATTTTGATATTTGTGAATATAATTATTCAACTCAGACTTCATTACCTGAGAGCAAAATCTCTTTTCGTACTACAGAAATTGATCAGCGTCTCTCCAAATCTCCCTAAACTCATCAGTTCTATGAATGTACAACCACCAAAGGAAAATGAAATAGTCCTACTGAGCGGATTAACATCAGGAAATCTTCAGGCTGATTATGAAGTTCCTCAGGTAGTAATCAAATTATCCTTTAGTAGAATATCACAGCTGTGAAGGAAGGAATTTGAAAACTGGAAAAAAGAGAGTGCTTTCAGCATGGACTGTATACACGTTTAGAAACTGAGTGGGAGTTGGCAAACAAAAAATAAATCTGACTACAAGAAGTTAAGCACCTGAAGGGAGAGGACAAAGATAAGAGATCCCTCTAGATCCTGTGGACGTCTGGGTTGCAGCTGATAATGCTACATGACATTAACAGCTGATAGGTCAAGGAAGGAAGAAAGAAAGATGCAATACTTTTTCTGTACACATAGCTGCACCAGGGCACAGCCCCTACAGCCTCCTGTTCAGGTGAAGTCTTGCTACCTCCCACTTTTGTTCCCAATCCATCTTGTCCCACACACCCACTTCAAAAAAGAGCTGACAATAGGACTTGAAGATCCTGGAGGCTTCCCTAAGCCTGACTGTTACAGTGGCAAATATCAAGATACATTAACTATATCGGAACTCATTTAGCTTCTGTCAATGTAAAAAAATAATTAATGCCTTAATTAAAATTTAACATTCAAAAGAGCTGAAAGAAAAGTTCTCATGCTAACTCCTTTGCTCTTATTATTGCCTGTGAAATTCTCCATATCTGAGATTGCAGGCCAAAAATTCCTCCTACTGGCACCATGAAGAAACGATAACATGTCCTTAAGGCATTTCAGCACACAAGTTCCAGAGGCTTAACTCCTTATAATAAGTTTTCCACTCTTCTCCATTTTTTTTTTTTTTCTTTTTCTTTTTTTCTTTTTTAACATTCATGTCTACCTAAAGAAAAACAATGAACAGTTCTTTGATAGTTTAGGTTGGGTTTTGATTTAAGTCTAAGTATGAATTGGGAAGAATTTCATTAAAATTGTAGGGATGCCCTGGAGTATAAAATTGCCTCAGCAAACTTTAAATTAGTAGGTATATTCAGTTTTGCCTGCAGAAAAAAAGAAAAACAAAATTTAGGACTAACTTAAATTTATCTTTTAAAATGAGTGGAACTTTTGTATTGAGGTGGAGTGAGATTTATTGGCTAGACAAGCAAATGCTATGTTGATCCTTGTTATTTGCTCAGCTTTCCAGAGAATTTCATTTGTAAAGAGAGTTGTATCATTTTCACGGGGCATCTGCTGGCCCTTTTCACAAGTACAACCCTGAAAAACATGGGCTGGAAAAAAAAGCATGGGAACATTTCCTCTAAGGCTGCATCTGTTATTAGATAAATTTCTCACAACGTGGTGTATACTCAGGTCTGATTCACCAGCAACTCCTTGGCAGTTAATTAAGAAAAAAATTCTATTTTACTTTTAACAGAATAATGCATCTAGTTTTTAGTAGTAAAGTAAGAATAGTATGTTTTATTGGCTGTTCTAACATAACAGTCATCCTATTCCATTGTTAGTAGATATTTGCTTTGCATTCACACCCATCAGCAAGGGATCTTGAAGCTCACTATGCTAGGTACTGTGCAAGTGTTCAGGGAGCCATGTGTCTAACACAGCTCAAAATCTAATGCTTCAATCCAGAGCTGGTTCCACTCAAGCTGTGTCTTCCTTAGGGTCTTGAGTTAAGGCATGAAATCACAACCCACAAAAGCTTGGTTTTGCTTGACTGGCATCCCATACCACAAACATAGTGTCATGCAAAGATATTAACAATTTAGCTTTATGGTCATATAAACATCCAACGGTTTTAATACCCATAAAACAAGGATGAATTCTTTTCCCTCAATTTCTTCCCACCTTCCTACTTAATTGTACAGCTTCACTGGCAAAGATATTATTTTATGTAAAGGTTCAACACAATGCTTTCAATTGGAAGTTATACTGGTCTGAAATAACAGGTTTGAGGCAAAGAAAATAAATTGCTATTTTTAAATAGTTCCTAAGGACACCTAAAGGTGACCTGTTCCTTATCTCGCCAGCCAGTATGAACACAGCCGCCTTGAGAACAAGCAAAGCAGCAGAAATTATCCTGAAAAGGAATTCATGTCCACAAAATTCCTTCCAGAGAGAGGCAATAGTAGGTGGTGTGAGGGCTGTAATAATGGTGTGTCAGGGGGCCAACTCCAACATAGCTAAAAGCAAGACTGTCATTAAAATAAGAGGCTGATTGAAAACAAGCTTGGTGATTTCAACAAAATAAGGACACTCCTGTGATACAGCTGGGTTCTGTACTAAAATGCTTGTGTAACAGAAGATGCCAATCCAAATGGTCTTATTTTGGCATATATGTAACTGCACACTGTTAGAAACATCTAAATGACAAATTGTATTGCATCTTTGCAACAGAACATTCCTGAGATTTTTCTAGAGGAAAGCATGAAGTTCTATTTTTTAATTAAATAACTCTTTGAGATTCTTTTCCCCTCTAGTGTCCTTGGCAAGCAGATGTCTGCTTGGTTCAGTGTGCGAGGGGAGACAGGAAGAACAGTGCAAGCTGCATCATCTTTGAAATAAACAAGTTTCTGATTGGGCTTGAGCTTGTTCAGGAGAGACAGCTGCAGATAGAAGCTCATGTCTCAAAGCCTGAGGACGACACAAACTGCTCAGTGTCCTCAATAGAAGAAGATTTCCTCACAGCATCTGAGCATCTCGAGGAGGAAAACGAGGCTGATGAATATAAAACTGGTAAAAGCAACGAGGCTGAGCATAATTCTGCTATTGTTCATATGGCAGAACAGCCATGGCAATTGTTACAGAAATTGCACTTCATGTTAATTTATGCATATATTTATATGTAATTTAGAAAAAGGATAGCCATTCATACTTTTAAATTGTTGTTCAGACAGAAGGATAATTGTTTGTATAGCAGTTTTTCAGAGCAGTAATGTATTAGTTACACACCTATTTTTGTTTTAAAGATACAGGGTACTCTGCAAAGACTAACGTCTTATTTTTCTTTCAGTAGCCCATGAAAAAATAAGTGTTTCAGAAGCATCTTCTGATGTCAGAAAAAATAAAGGAAAAGGATTTGAAAGTCTCCATTACAGAAAAGCCAGGTTGCCATTAATTCTTGAAGGGAATTGCATTAATGAAGATAACACAGATAGTAAAGTCTCTGAAACTGTGCATATTGTGGCAGAAGATGGCATCTCACAACCTGAAGATAAGCCAGAGCAGGAAATCCTGTGTCAAAAGGAATTAGTGGGAAGAGCTACGTCATCTCTCAGTACTGAGGATTTGACTAGCAACATTGAAAATTCCTGCTCAGTGAATGTGTTAGATGTATCTTTAACCAAAATGGCTAAAGAGGAGCTGGGGCCTCTTTATGACTCTACAGCAAAACCCAACAGCAAGGCAGAGGTAGAGGATTGTGCAGGTGTTAGGAAAAGTGACCCTCCCTTGCAAAACAAGCAAGCAGCTACAGGTCAGTACGCTACAAATCTAGCGGAGTCTGTTCTGCAAGATGCGTTCATTAGACTATCACAGTCTCAACCCACTTTCAGCGAGGAGGCTGCAGTCAGCATCTCCGTAGGAAGCTCCTGCAACTCAAAAGATGCATCTGCTTCTCGATCGTGGAATGAACTTCCAAAGATTGTCATAGTGCAAAGTCCAGACAGCAGTGAGAATGTGCCAGACTGGCCAGGGTCTGCCTTCCCAAACCTGTGCCACTGGACTGAAACAGAAAGCTCTGAAGTTTCAGATTACTTTGAAGACAACCATTCAAATGGACACAGCCAGAGTGCACTGGAGATGGCTCTGGCTTGTGCAGCAACTGTCATTGGAACCATTTCAAGTCCCCAGGCAGCAGAAAAATTCAGAAGGGATCAGGAAGCTGCAGATTCTAAAAGCGAAACAGTTGATAATGAAGATCTACACACAGATTCTTCACAGCTACTTGAAGACTGTACTAGCACAGAATATTCATTTCTATCTGCACTGTGTGGCATGACTCAAGTAGCAAGTGCTGTAGCAGTCTGTGGTCTGGGAGAAACAAAGGAAGAGAAGTACCCTGCAACTTCGAGTGGGCTGCTGTCTGCAGCTCAGACTTCTGCAGCCATTACTCTTCATTGTAGCATAGCTGTAGGAAGCAGCATGGAAAAGCTGAATGATAGCATTGCAGAGGCCCTTCTCAAAGAGGCATCAATAATTTTGACGAAACCCAATACATACAAAAATGTAGGGCATTTTATGGAATCCATAAATGGAAGAATTATTGAAACAGCAGCAAGGCCACGGATTCCACACTCTGATGAAGTAATCAGAGATGAACTGGCACAAAATTTATCCAATATTATTCTACGACATTCTATTGAAGAGGTCAGGAAGAAAAGAGAGCTACAGTCCCATTCAGAAAGCAGCTCAAGTACACAAGACATTTTCATGGAGACTGCCAATGAGTTGCTTTTTAACGTGATATATTTCACTTGCAAGAAGATGAATGACATAAGACAAGTTGAAGAGTGTTCTCCTCTCTTTTCTGAAGGCCTGAAAGGCAAGAAGGTAACCAGAGTAGAAGAATGGCCAACGCAGGCAACAGCACGTGAAACATCACACAGACCCCTTGATCATTCTGCTGTTAAGCCATTTGGTACATCCTACAATGCTAGCAAAGACACTGAAAATGGTATCAACATGAAGAAAATTATCATGAGAGATATAAATAGCAATGAAAGTGCCACCGTGAATTCAGAGCTAACAAGTAAAGCTATTGGGCATAATGCACTTGCTGCAAAAACATCTCCCAAGAAAAGATACCTGAAAAGAACCACACGAGACTGTTACAAATCTCCAAATCAGAGTAACATTCAGAAGAAGAGAGACTACAGATCATTTTCAGACAGAGAAAGTACCTTTGCAAACAATGAATGCAGGCATGGTGTTCAAGAACAACTGTCTTCCAGTGTTGTCGTGAACACAGAAAGCCAGGCCAAACATAAGTGTGATGCTGTGCTAAGTGATGAAGTCCAAGTTAGCTTGTCTTTGTTAGGAAACCACGTCTTAATTCCTTCTCAACCTGTACTACAAGTAAAAAATTCAAGAGACAAATACTGTATAACAGATTTTGCAGAAGAATTGGCAGAAACAGTGGTCTCTATGGCAACAGAAATAGCTGCCATTTGTCTTGAAAATTCAAATGGAAAGCAGCCCTGGTTCTGTGCATGGAAGAGAGGCAATGAGTATCTGGTGACCCAGAGTATATCATGCAGAACTATGAAAAGGAAAAAGGAAACCCATGCTAATGGCTCAGTTGTTCGGAAGCACAGGGCACCTCGACTTAGTGAGATCAAAAGAAAGACAGATGAGCATCCTGAGCTAAAGGAGAGGTTGATGAATCGAGTAGTAGACGAATCTATAAACCTTGAGGACACACCAGATTCTGTCAATATCTTTGCAAATGAAGTGGCTGCAAAGATCATGAACCTCACTGAACTCTCCATGGTTGACAGCATCTGGCAAGGTCCAAACCATCCCAGGAACAGGCTGCACTGTGAAAGATGGAGCCGAGCCAAGGCCTCAAGCTGTGAGAGCATACCAGAGGAGGATACAGATTCCAAAGCCTCTGTCAATACTCTAGGCCTAATGAACGCCTTTGGTCAGCCTGTGAGCCAGACAAGTTCTGTCTCAAAGCAATCTAGTTGTGAAAGCATTACAGATGAGTTTTCAAGATTTATGGTGAACCAAATGGAAAATGAAGGAAGAGGCTTTGATTTATTACTAGATTATTATGCAGGAAAAAATGCAAACAACATCTTGACTTCTGCTTTGCAACAGGTTGCTAAGAAAAACGGTCATCTTAACGTACGACCAAGTTGCCCATCCAAGCAGTCCAGCACAGAAAGCATAACAGAAGAATTTTACAGGTACATGCTAAAAGAAATAGAAAAGGAAAATAAAGATAATGCATCTTCCCCTCGGAATTCAAAGGACTGGTGTGGCAGTTTGCTACCACCCTCCCTGCGATCACCTTTTTGCTTTAGACAGTCCTCAGTGCCTGATGGCAGATCATCAGGTTCTAGACTGACAGTTAACATCCCAGTCAAGGCAAATTCATTAGATGGATTTGCCCAGCATCACCAGGATTCCTTAAGTGTACAGCCAGTCAGTACAGTGGCTTCTTCAGGTCTTTGCAAGTCTGACTCATGCCTGTACCAAAGATGCAAGACTGACCAAATAACAGATATGTTGATTCATGAGACTTGGGCAAGCTCTATTGAATCTCTAATGCGCAAAAACAAAATCATAACAGATGAGGCAGAGGTTGCAGAGGTAGATCATTTTCACAGTGATTCCCCACCACACGTGCAACAGTATGCGAACAGACTGGCTGCAAATATTGTTGAAAGTGGTAAAAATTTAATTGTTGTCCAGCAGGATGCCTTTGATTCTGTAAGCCAAGAACACATGCTGGAAAGCAGACATCCCCAGAGTGCAACTCGGATTCAAGTAGAACCCAAAAGGGATGAAATAAATTTGGATGAGCAGAAGGAGCATGTGAAGGAGCATGTGAAGAACCCTGAATGCCTCCCTGCAGGTCAGCACAGGGAAGTGCCTTTAATTCAGATAGAAACTGATCAACGAGACGAGTCAGATAAAGACTCTGAGTCCTTAACTCTACACGAACTTTCTGAAAAGGAGCATCAAGGCAAGGAAAAGCCTCCAGAAGCTTATACTGGGAAGCACATGGTTTCCAGTACCCTACTGAATAGGTAGGTGACCAAACAACAAATCAGCATGTTGCTTTGGTGTTTAAATTTCCTAGTGAAAATTAGCTTGCTGATGGCAGAAAGTAAGGGAAGAATCACTTTGGGAGAAACAAACAGGGTAGAATATCACTACATGTTTCAAATTACATAAAACCATCAAGTGACGCATCACAGTACTAATTTGTGTAGCAAACATGCTGAATATAATTGTATTATAGCTCTGAGGTTCAAAACTAATACTCTGTTAATGAGCAAGTTTTCCCTAACAGATACCTAAGCTTTCCTTAAATCAACACAGGACAGATTTCAAAAGTTGAACTTGTATTTAACATTTGCTGAAATCTCAATTTAAGAAAAAGTTAAAAATTAGGACAAGCATGAAACAGAGGATAACTGAATGAGAGGCAAAAACCTCTATTGTGCTTACATTACTGATGTTTTGTGTTCCTGGAAACGCAACCAGACTTAAGAGAGCTTGAAGTTCAGCTTTGTGCTCACTGTTCAGAAGAAAGATTAAAATTCTTCAGCACAGGGAGAAAAAAAAATTAAAAGCACCTTTCAACTACTTTAAGATGTTCCTGGCTAGTATTCAAATAAAAGGTAAAGTTTCATTTCAGGGAGTTCATACCATGGCCTACCATCCTCTTGTTACAGCTGTACTCCTTTTGTTGAAGAATTGCATCTTTGGTTAAAGCAGAGAGAGCACAGTACACATGCAGAAGATTGCTATGGATGTTGCAAGGTTAAGAACAAGACAGTCTCTCAAGGCATTACCTATTTTTAACTGTACCTCTTAATCATATTTATTACTTAAATGGTAACTAAACTGCCTATCACTTGGAGCTTTTCAGCACCCCATTATCTCAGAGTGCTAGAAAGATGCTTGTGTTCAAAACCATTCTGACAAAACTCTACTTGAAGTGAGAAAGCACATACTTCCCTGTCTGTGGCAGCAATTAGGTGGATAATTACAATAGTCTAAATTCTTTCATACTGACTCCCTCCTACTCATCTTCCTCTTCCTTCAAGCATAACCTGCTTTTATAATACATTTAGCAATCTATTTGAATCTGTTTGAAAATGGAGTTATTTCCTGCACAGTTCATGAGCCATTTACTAACATGCCCCCACAAGGTTGTTAGTCCCACAGAAGTCTCACATGTGGAACCAAGTGGATCAAGTATTGTATGCTACCTGCCCTGTGTTAAATAGCCTCTAGGTAACACTGTCACCTTGCTGCTTGACTGCATGTGACGATGAGCTTTGTGTCCAAGAGGTCAGGTTAGGTTATCGGAAAGATGATAACAACTTGGTAGATCGTAGACCCTCAGGCAAATACATCCCCTTTCTCTCTATCCAGGAGGCTGCTTCTCTTTCACTAACATCCAGCATTAATGCAGCAACTTCTCAGTTGTCCCCAGAGCGAGAGCACAGTAAAAGCACATACTGACAACGATCCCATCTCACCATATTCTTAGTAATTAGTTAATTATTTGCAATACAGTGTTTGGATTGATCTCTTCTTTTAACTGAAGTCAGGATGTTTGTCCACATCTACAGATAAAAGCCTAGAGAAATTGTCACTTTAAGAGAGATACTCCAGAGCTGCCAATACATAAAATTTTCTTTTAATTACAGAATTGCAAATGCAAACCCATAAATAACAAAACTACAGTTTTGCTTTAGCTATTACTCTGTTGCAGCAGTGATTCATTATTTATATTCCAAGAGAAGGAATGCTTCTTTTAATTATTAAATATTTTTCTGCCTGCATAACAAAAGACCCCTGGTAAATCTCACAATATCCAGTTTGCCTCTGAAAAGTTACCTTAACTACATTTATGTGTAAACATATAATTTTACATTTGTATCATACGAATACGTGCATGTGTTTGACAAACGCATCAAGTGTGTAGAATTAGAAGGCATTTTTTCCTATGATCTCCAAATTCAGTACTGGAAAATACTATTTTTCACTTTGTTTTACTTTTTAGCTTCCTATAAACAGTCTGATTGTTGTTAGTCTTTCCTGTATTGCTTTACAACAGCTGACTTTGAAATGCATTGAGTTAAAAAAAAAAAAAATCGAGTGTTTCCACTGTATTTAAATAAATCAAAATGCATTTCAAGCAATTCAGGAAAACATACACAACATAGAAACAACAGACTTTTAGAAGGTAGCATTATCAGTGAAGATGCTGCACAAAATATTGGTATTCTTGATGTAAGCTCGAGTGAGAGTTAAAACAAAAGTATCAGAATAGAATGATCCAACAGAGATCCTGCAGAGCTCAGAAAAGATGAAATTGGATCCATTTAATTGCTATTATTTTACTTCTAAAGTGGATAATATTTTTGTCTTCTGTTCTATTATATTCTATAATCTATTATGACAATTCTGAATTTCTTAAGCATATATGGTACATTTCTATTTTTGTCGTACACCAGTAATTGGAGGAAAAAGTCTGAACGTACCATACAGAACTCAGTGCAGAACCTCAAGTGCTAAGAACTGAAGCTGGCATTAGAAGAGCAGGCGAAGATACCACATTTCTGACTTTATCCTCAATTACACCTCCCCAGCTGGAAAATATTCATGAGTGTACATAACTAATTATAATTAGCAGTCCAATAGAAATAAAAGATCCTATTAAACAAGCAGAAAACCTTGGCAACATACGCTGTCATTATGTTCTAGTGCTTAACCTCCATATTTCAAACACTGATTGACTGAAGTACCTTAAGACCTAAGCTGTAAGCAGTTCTTTTTATACATAGAAAAGGTTTAATTTGTACATCGCAGTACAGGGCTTACTTAGTTTTATGTTAGTTTATAGCACTCATAGGAAGACCATTGTTAAAGAGCATTCCATACCATGGTTCAACTGGAGTTCATGTATGAATTGTAAGTTTGTCTAGTCTCTTGCATCTGTACAGTTTGCATACCTTGGTTGAACTTTATGAGGAACATTACCTGAAGATTGGCAGTACCAGTTTGTTTGCCTGTATTACCATTATTCCTTACCACCCTCCCAGCAAAAGCACTCAGAGCAAGCCAGATGCTGAAATCACAGGAGAGACAAAAGCAGCTGAAGAATTCCCAGTACACCTCAGCAGCAGTGAAGAAAGCACTGGCAGCTGGTCCCAGCTAGCCAATGATGAAGACAATCCTGACGACACGAGTAGCTACTTACAACTCAGCGAACGATCTCTGAGGTATGAATACTGTCTATTCTTAGTATGCATTATACTTTAATCAATCAAGCCTATGACTTGATTAGAACGTGTCAGGAATGAGGAGTAGTAGCTCAGGATTTACTGAGAATACTGTAAAGGAAGACCAGATGATGAAAAAGAAGCAGCCATATCCCGACTTTAAACCAGGTCTTTATATTGGTAAGCAATTAGATTCAGTCAATCAAAGCACATCCTTGCTTAACCCTGTGCAAGCGCCTCAGTCCTACAGTGAAGGGCCACCAAATAAACTAATTGTTATGGCCTTGCCTTTGCTTTATTTGCTACTATTTCCACAATGCTTATCACAGTATCTGCCTAGCTGAGACTGCTGCCCCCAGCAAGTATCTGTGCAATTAGAGAACAAGTAGCACCCTGATCTGCATAGACCAGCATGGGGAAACAGCTTGAAAAAGAAGGGCTGAGCTTGCCCTGAGTAGGCATGAATTCCAGTGCCTCTACTGCACTGTACTGTGTTCCTGCTTAAGTCAGGATGTGTTTAAAGATGTTACATGTTCTCCAAGGACTAGATAAAGTGATGTTAGTTTGACTTCAATACTTTCACAACTTCAAATCAAGCAAGGTCTTTTCTTCACATGATCTTAAACTACATTTTTAAATACTGTCAAGTAATTACATTTTTCCTGTGGGAATTAAGACAAAAAGAAGAGAAGACAGTATGGTAATGAAGCAAGAAAAAGGAAGTCTGTTAGAGAGCACTGTTGGCTAGCTGGAAAAATACTGAACAAAGCATGTCTGTCAGCGTGAGTGAACATTCATCTCGTCTCGTTATTGTAGTATCAATCCTTTAACAATGTCAGGTTTGAGGGAGGTAATGCATTGTGCCTTTTGGTTCACTGAAACAAGCTGTTACAGCAAACCTGAACATGGCATTCTGATACTGACTCAAAAACCTGATAGAGAAAAGAACTGTCTGGTCAATCCCTCAGATGTACGGAAAAACACTTAATTGCTTTTCTAATATAAATTAAGTGGCACAGGCTTACTCAAGACACAGAACAAACTGGTGCTATTTGATAGCAAATCCACAACCTGTTTTTCAGACTATCATCACATAAACATTACTGTCAAGTTCATAGCAATGTTATAAAGCAAACATACTGTTTTTCCCCCAGATACTCTCAGTTGATTTACTTCAACTTCATGAAGTAGTTAAAGAATACTTCAAGGTAGTAATGGTCCCAAGTAGCACTGGCTTTAAAATGAAAAGTCTTTTAGAGTAGCCAAAATCCTAAGGAATGATTACTGCACCTATGGGTTCCACCAGATCCCAAATAGTATTTGGTATAGGATGTAATATACTGAAACTGATGTGGCACAGGATCACCCAACAGGTAAGTAGTATGATGAGCAACCTTGGCATGTATGCATGCATGCATACACACACACACACACTGCACTCCCACTCCTTGACATATCCCACAGTGTTCAGAGGTATCTGAATCTCTGAAGGTTTTTCCAGGACACCTCTATACTTGGTAATCTTTCTTCTCATTTCAGTGGCACATGCAGACTGTTTTTGTGTTTGATTCCAAATGCTCATTGCATAAGCCATCCATAAGAAGATAGCCTACTATTATTTATTTTCAGTTCACAGCATTACTTTGCTACATGATCTGCCTAGAGCTATTTTAATATAACCTCATTACTTTAAACACATTAACATGCTTCATTCTGAGAATCACTTGATGAGCACAGTTGTGTTTGTAGAACATGGGACAGCCTCCTCACTTTACTTTCTACAGAAAAATAATGCATGGAGATATGTTCAGTGAAGCTTGGCACTAATACTTAAACTTTTGCTTTGTCAGCAATGGCAACAGCAGTACAACTAGCAGTCTTGGCATTATGGACCTGGAAATTTATCAGGAAAACATGCCACCTTCTCCTATGATTAAGTAAGTAGTTACTGAAGTGAGATTTGATGTTTAGTCTTATTTTAACTGTAAATCATTTACACTGTCTAAAATGTGCCAAGCCCTGCTTTGCACCTGCTGCTTAACCTACCGTTAGTTTCAGAAAGGTACACATGGCAGGTGTCTGTGGAGTGTGACAGCATTAGACAGTGAAAGATTACAGGAAAACCCATCCAGGTGGATGGGTCTCTCAAGAGAATACAAATCCATCAGCTGTTCTGCCTAGAGAAGAGCTTTCTGTCTTCTGAGTATCTATTTTACATTGTGTGAACTTTCTTCTGTGAGTAACTTAAAGTACTCAAAGCTTTAATAAAACAGCTATTAAGATCAAGTAAATAAGGATCAAATAACCTCAAAAAGAAAAGATAGATATTCTTGGAAAAATGCTAGTATTATGTCTTAGGTATTTTTTCTGAGCATATTTCTACTGAGCATGCAATAAAATTGTCAAGAGATGTGCAAATATCTGCCTAAAGAATCTGTTATCCTGGAACATGGTACGACCAGCCAGCTGGTAAATGTCATGATGCAGACAGGGCACAGCCACTGTAGAAGCACATGGACTGTACATCACACATTGAACACAGGAACTCTGACACCAGATCTTCACAATTAATTACCAGAATATCTTACAGCAAGCTACCATGCTTTTGAGAGGCTCTTTTCTGTAAGAAATCTGGCTGTTTGTATTTTCACCGCATGCATTCTCTCTGAGCTACTGATTAGGACTCTAACCATATCAAAACTTTCACATCTTAACATTAGGCAGAGGCACTTCCTATATGAATTCCTGATGCTGACTCAATTGGTCTCCTTTCTAAAGATTAAAGGGATAGATACCTGAGTCCCCATTAGCTTTCAGTGGCTACTTTCAGGCATTAGCCAACAGGCCTGACATCCTGGCAGAACAGATGTTGTGGAGAACAGCACCACCACTTGGAGCAATTTGTCCTCACCCAAATCAAAGTCATGGTACAGAATTCAACTGCTACTCAAACAGAAAGCAGAAAGAAAAATCTGATGGGAAAGATGCTATTAGGCAGCTATGATTCTAAGTCATGACAAAACATAATTGCATGCTGCCATTTTATTCTTTCACATCTGTAGTAACTGATATCTAATCTTGATCTTCTGAAGCCTTAGGGAAGATTCTGACAGCCTTTGGAAGAGAGTGGTAAGGGTAGTGTCCTCCCACGTGGGAGACAAAGCCTTACACTTGTACTGTCCTTGGTTGAGGACAGGATGGCATAGTCTGGAAATGTGTAAGCTATCCCTCCAGAAGTGAGGGAATAACTGCCATAATTATAGCTTCAAACCTGAACTTACAGGTTCCTGCCACATGCGTATGAGCACGGGCATTATATTCAGAAATGAAAACTGAAGCAGTGAAAACATACCTGAAGTTTGTTTCCTTTAGTTTAACAAGAACAGTAGAACATGAGAAGCAATAGTCTTTTGAGATTTTTTGCAACATGAAACAGAATGTGATTATCCAAATAGATAATATATTTTAAAAGAGCAGTAGCTGAAGTCATCAGTAGTTTGTGTTTACAATGAAAAATGCAACTAGAAAGCAAGATTTTTTAAAAGAGTTTCACCCAAGGAGTATTGCACTGAAAAATGCAGACACAGCAAATTCAATATTTTCCCACAGGTTATGAGACCTGCTGTGTCTTACCATGATGTCATCTTCAAATAACATCAAAGAAAATACACAGACTCTGATAAAACACAGTACATATTGCAACCAGTATAAGTCCTTCACCACATTCCAGGAAAAGCATTGCAAGTTCCTTGTTCTTTCTTGACTTACAAATTAAACTATTGTAACATTAAGCATTTTATCACATAATACACATCAATCTGCATAACTTTTTTCTTGCAGTTTTCTAGGTCTTACGCTGGGAGAGAACTTTAACCATTGTGAAGGAATGTTATAGACTATCCCATTCCTAACTATCACTAACAAGCCTTGTTGTTTTTTGTTCTTAAGTGACTTAGCAGAAGAAAAGGTTTTCCTTAAAGAACAGACAGATAACACAGAGGGTAAGTTGAACCATTTCAATTACAACATACAATTTGAAGTTTAAAAAAAAAAAATTGCATAATAACTGTTGAGATTTTTTTTCCAGAAAGTACTTCTGGGCTCTCAGTGGGAACAGCTAATTATCAAAAAGAACTCCTCGTGATTAATTTTGACCTGGAACCAGAATGCCCCAATGCAGAGCTGCGAGCCACCCTACAATGGATAGCTGCTTCTGAACTTGGAATCCCAACCATCTATTTTAAAAAATCTCAGGAAAACAGAATTGAAAAGGTAGCTTTTACAGAATTGGACATATTGCTTTCATTTTAGTCACAGTACCAATATTCTGCTCACAAAGAAACAAAATTGCCCCTGACAGGTTCTTGGTGATAGCAGGTAAAGTATTCATGAGTAGGCCAACAGTCATATACAGAAAGAAAAGTCAAACTCACCCAACTGGGATCTGTAACACTCCTCCACAGGAAGCAGCATAGGTCCAAGAGATACTTTCCCTTCAGTGGCTGACCCTATACGATCCCAGGCTGGCTCCACCCTGGGTCTATCCCTGCTGATGTGTAGGGAACACAGGTGCAAACAACTTGCTTGTGCTCCCTGCACCAGCCACACATCTTCACCAGGTGCTCAATCAGCAGGTCAAGATCCAACACTTCCCCTGCCAGAAACTGACTTATTGAAGTTACTGAGCTTAGAAGCAGATGTGAAGTCTTCATCACAGCAAGATGGAAATACTACTGCTTGTTATAGAAAGAGAGGATTAAATACATCAGGATATAAGGTTCATAGAATTGTAGAATCATAGAATGGCTTGAGTTGGAAGGGGCCTTATAGCACACGCAGTTTCAACCCCCCTGTTGTTTGCTGGCTGCCCCCCACCAGCTCAGGCTGCCCAGGGGCCCATCCAACCTGGTCTTGAGAACCACCAGGGATGGGGCACCCACAGCTCTCTGGGCAGCAGTGCCAGGGCTCACCATGCTCTCAGGAAGAGATTTCTTCCTAACGTCCAATCAGTAGCTGCTGTCTTTTAATTTAAAACCGTCCTTGTCCTACACTCCCTGATAGAGTCCCTTCCCATCTCTCCCATTCCTCTTCATCTTCCATGGTTGCATCTGAAGGATTCCAGACAGTTTATATGGAGTTTAAACATGTATCTGTAGCAAAAAACAAACAAAAAAACAACCCACAACCATTTGATTGCAGACATCAGATACACAAAGTTCTGCAATTCAGAGCCTACCAGCAACAAGAAACAATTATAACTTAATACATGAGTTGTACTTAAGATTTAAAGCTTTGAAATTCCCTAGTCCTTCTACAGGCTCTGCCTCACCTACTGCACTGATCATGGCAACCTCAGGCAAGTAGGAATTTGTTTCTGGCCATCTGACGGGTTTACATTTGAGGTACAGCAGGGCCTGACACTTCCATCTGCAGTTAGGTGAGAACTGCCATGGCCAAATGCACTGCCTTTACCATAGCTTTGTGCTGGTAGAAAGGGATTGCAGTTCAATGAGAAAAGGGTGTGTTGCTCAAATATTCAGAAGAGACTAAATGCAAAATAAAGATAATCTATGCTAGCTTGGGCTTAGTGTCTCACATAACAAGATCTCATGGCTTCTGCATCAGAACTAGTTGAAGAAACAGGAAGGATGGACCATCTATATGGGTGTATTGTTATATTATTCCCAGCCAGAGGGAGAGTTTAGCAAGGGTGGTGACCAACTAGCATTTTCAGCAGAGGAATATTTGTGATCACACATCTGCTTCTTGGAAAATTAGACTATTTTGGATCATTGTGTAAAAATTGTGAAGCACCTTCCCTGTCTCAGCTACAACAAAGGAAAAAAGTTATGTATATCCGTACACTTTAGCTCCTATACAGATGTAGCATAGTCTCCACTAATCTTCACTCTGAATGCAAAAGTTTGTTTTCAGGCAGAGACAGACCAGAACTGAGAAACACCGAGTTATTAGTCCAAGGAGGGACACAGAGAGCAACGCTAAGACCAAAATGGCCACAAGAAATGCAGACTATTTCTGAACCATGAAACGCCACCTTCAACATTTCTGGACTGACCAAAATTGCCCCCTTTCCAAGTTCAGCAAGATAGCTCAAGTCATAAGGCTTACAAAAAGTGTCACAGTATACAAAACAATTAATGAAAAGGGTATTATAAATCAGTATTTTCATCTTTTAAAATAATATCTCTAAGAAGACCATTTTGAGTAGCAGAGATATTGTTTGATTTTCTTGAGTACTCGCATTTGGCTATCATAAACATAATTTAAAATGAATTCAGCAGCAACCATCCAAATTGCATCTAATTAAAGAAACAGCTGTCAGCTTTACCCATGTGCTTTGGCAAACAGTTAATTCAATTGCAGAAATACACTAGAGAATAATGAAGCACATTCTGCCTACAACAGCGCTCTTGGAAATAACTGTGCCTGTTAAATATTGTTGAAATACATATTAAAAGTTTAGGCTTCGGTATGTAAATAGCAAACAGCTACACTAACTGGAGACACCATATTTTCTTGGGTGGTTTAAATGTAGAAGTTGTGAGCCAATTAGATATTGATTGTGAAATCCAAGGAAATGAAAAGCTTTGATTTTCATTTATGTGCTAGAGGAAAAATCAGACCAGATGTATGACACTGTAAAGCCTATTATTAAGAACAAAGTGGACAAAATTCAGAATTCCTTACAGCTGCTTAAGAATATATATATTTAACTTCGTTTAGAGGCAACGAAAAAAGAAAATGCAAATGCGTATCCTTATGGTGATTCAGACACAACCGTAACAAAAGATTTTGTGTGACAGAAGCTTACCCAGAAATCCCTCTCACCAGTAATGCGTGAATATTAAGAATACTGTGGGATGGATATGTGAAAATGCAGAAACTTAAATACAACTCAAAATACAACTAATGTAATGAAGGATTGTTTTTCTTTATAAAGTGGATAGCCACAATTTCATTTTGACAGTGAGATGTTGATAACAAGGAAACTTGTGGTTCTTTAGCAAGCTTACTTTCACAGTTCTCCATTTAATTGCAAAAAAAAAATAGGAAATAATTGATGAGAAGAGCTAATTGAGAAAACATCATGAAATCTGATCAGTCTCGGAGGAACTGTGGAATTTCAGAAATGAAGTTTTCAGTGTGCTATAAGTAGAAATAGCCCTTATGTTGCCCTTATGTTACTGTGCATCCACTCTGTGATAGCAGCGCACCCAAAAAGGATCGCCTCACAGCAGTTTGCGTGTGTCTGTTTAACACCTCAGCAAAATGTTAGCCAAATGCTAAGTGGTGGTGTTGCTTTTTTTGTTTGGTTTCTCCTTCAATTTAGTTTTTAGATGTTGTGCAGCTAGTTCAACGGAAGTCCTGGAAAGTGGGAGACATCTTTCATGCTGTGGTGCAGTACTGCAAGCTCAGTGAGGAGAGCAAAGAGAAGACACCAAGCCTGTTCGATTGGCTCCTTGAACTGGGTTAGGAACAATTGCCTGTTCCACGTCTTTGTTTTAATCCAGTAAGCAGTGGTTCGTGTAACACTGATTTCCAAATATCACCAAATAAAATGAGCAAAGATATATTAACTACAGAAAAAGCACCTGTCTGTTCCACAACTGCACTGAGCAGAATTGAAACCAAGGTGTATTTTATCCTTCTGTATCCTGAGGGACGCTTGACATATTGTGCTGTAGGATGTACTGTGCTAGAAAAAGATGGATTTTTTAGCTTTCTGAATTAATGGACTTCATTTACTTAATGAATTCAGTAAAACTTAATTGAATTTCTAGTACATTCCATTTTCATCAATTTGATTAAATCAATCAGCTGAAACAGGATGGTATACTAACATTCAGTTTTAAAACAATACTAATGTTTGTACAGTTTTAACTTTTAGAACCTGAGTGTGTTCCAGGATGCACAGAGAAAACCATGCCCTTCAATAAATAAAACATTTTAAAAGAAGTTTCCATAGTCCTCTGAGAGGTGAAAACTTGTGAACACATCAGATCTTTGAAGTCAAAAAACAGAACAAGAAGCTGCTGAAAACACATTTCACTTTCTTTCCACGTGATCATTTCAGCCCTATAGCTGGTCCCCATTCCTGCCTTCTCCTCAAGGAAATACAAATCTCAGTTATTACCCTTAAAAAGCCTCCGTTCTTTACACTCGCAGGCAGTGCAGTTCAGTACAGCTGTGCTTGGTACGTCCCCAAGCACAGCTCTGCGAGTCAGGGTTGTGGATTCCTAAAGCCCTGTCCCCACCAGGTGACCTCGGGCGAGTCAGTTCACCTCTGTGCCTCAGTGTCCCTATCCAGTAAGAGGGAGCGATGCTACGGAATGTGTTATGGGAAGTGTTTGTTTAAAGCACTAAGTAACATGCTTTGTGTCGGTTAGAATGCTGAAAAGAAATACTAAGTTGAATCAAGTAAATTGTTAACAAGGCGAAGAAAAATGTATCTGAAAAGAGTGCTGTCTTGAAATAAAAATCTTAATTTTTGTAATTTTCAAGAAGTCAAAACATTTGCTACAATTTCAGCACATGCTTGTTCATTTTGGATATGTGTTGGACTATGTATGATAGTCCACATTATGATGACATTTATATAACTGTTTGATAAGATATACTGTGGTATCTTCTCGCTGAGATGATGCTAGGTATCACGCACTCAGTGATACTCTCTTGACTCTGCCAAAGAGATTGGCTTTGAATTTAAAGGTAAACGTAACTTATCACATCAAAGCTCTTCTGTGATTTGTTTCTTTGAAAATCTTTATATTTTGCTTCTCCCTTCTTAAATAGCATACTAGAAAGCCTGCCTGCCTTTCCAAATCAAATATTTAAGAGATATTTTATTTTCCAGATAATAGTATATGCTTCTATAATATTTTTGGGAGGTGGGGTGAAAAGAAGAAAACTATCCTTTTGCACTAAATATTTTTGAAGATTTTGAAGTAGTTTTAAGTAATTTATGAAAAAAGAGCCATATTATTCTCAATTTTATCTTTAAAACCATTGCTAAATTTGCATGATTTCATCACTCATTTGTTAAGAAATACATACTGTAGGTGAAACCTATTACAAAACATTAAATAACATCTACATCTCCGCAATATATGAAGTCAGTGGAGGTGTCTTTACTGTCAAGATAAAGATCAGTTTGTTGCATCCACTCAACCTAACTGCAGTACTGGGGCCCATTCCTAGGAACTGCTGAACATCCACAGCTCATGCTAACACGAGTGGTAACAGTGAATGCTCAGCATTTCCAAGGCTGAAAGTTAGTAAAAAGCACTGGGCATTGTAAAGTGCTTTGATTGAGCCAATAAATGGGAAAGTGTATTTATTTTTAAGCCAGATACAGTTAGTTGTCAGTATATAAATTTTTGCTGTGGTAGAATAAATGTTTACTTATCCTACAAAGCACAAATATCATGACTGAGTTGTAAGTGTGATGCAGTTTTCTCTGTACAGTAGTTCTCAATGTTGCAATTTGTTCGGAAATAAATTTATGTTCTAACATGTGTTGTCTTTATCTTTCTAAAAATATTTGATCAATTCAATTATTGGCACATCATCCCCGTAGCTTTTCACAGCAATGCTTCTGAATGAAAAATCTGATCCCTGGCCGTAACTGAGCAAGTCAGAGCTCTGGCTTTCCCCACATCCCACTGTCCATTCAGGTGATACAAAATTTATTATTACTATCACTGTTACACATTCAGTGCAAAGAATTAACTCCAGAGTAACTGGTATTCCCAATCCCTATTATTGCTTTCAATACCTGCTAAAGTCGGCAGGGAAGTGGGGGAAGCAGGCATCAAGGAGTTTCTTCTGTTTATTGGTTTGCACCCCTGATGTCTATTGGGAAAGTATTCCTAATGCTAAACAGAAAAGGAAACCAACAGCTGACTTAGCTGAGTAAATCAGAACAGGAGTTGTTCACAATTAAAAAATGCTGAAACCCTATTATGCTTAGGAGATGCCTGGCCATCCAAGGCTGCCCAAGAATTTGCCTGAGCATCAGCTGCAGCCCTGCTCCCACCTACCAGCAGAATCTGGCCTGTAAATACATGAATTCAAATACAGGAAGATTAATTACTGAAAAAAAAAACCAAACAAACCTGGGGTTTTAGTTTGGTTTTAAGTAGGGTGCTTTCAATGTTGGGATAATTAGAAGCTAAATTTACTCTATTTTGTCGTAACACTGAAGTTACCTTAAAGTCATCTGTAAATTAATCATTTTATTGTGGTCCATTATAAAAACTGTCACCTGTTAACATCTGTCCTATTAAATTCAGCAGACCACTATTCTGGAGAGGCTGAATTAACTGCTTCTCTAGTCCGGTTTCACAAAGAGCTGCACAACATGAGAATAAGAATGTCACAATAAATCCTACACTCTGACTTTTAAAATGTCATTATAAAACAACAACAGAACCCCACTTCATTGAAGTCAAGAGCCCACATAAGTTACTTAATAAGTTTGGGGAAAAAAATCCAACTGAGAAGGAAAGCACACACACAGTAGCCAAATAAATAATTTTATTTCAAGCCAGTGTTGTTCCTAAGCCTTCAGTATGTGTAAAGAAACTTTTCAAACCCGCTCTGAAGGCACTGCCATCACTAGGAAAGTAGTTTGCAGCCATCAAGCATTTAGCAGGACAGACAATTATATTAGACAGGTGGACTGTCAAACTAATTATATAGCATTTGTGGTGAAGACAAGTCTGACAAGTCTGGCTGTGGGGTACTGTGCCCTCCAGCCAGCTTCAGCTGAAAATCAGACAGAAAAGTGCAGCAAACTGGAAGACATAACCAGGCAGGATACATTTCATACCCTTTCACTAACCACCCAGGAAATGCAAGCAATTCTACAGCAGGAGCTGAAAAGGAAGTTCTCACTAATTACCACTTCTAAAGCCTGAGTGGGTATGACTGCAATTATTGTCATTTATTCAGAAAAGGCTTTGAATCCCAAGAGATACAAAAAGCATACACCAAGAGCCACTACACCTCATATGCTTACATTGAAAATCCTTGTCCTAGTCTTGCAAAATATATGTTCTGCCCTGAGAAAACTGATAAAATAAATTTATATTTCCACAACAATAACTGCTGGAATGATTCAGGGATTGAAAGGACAGAAACAATAAAGCAAATCTGATTTCCACTGTGACAGCACACCTTGCAAGCTTCCTGCAGTAATGCTGTTCAGTAACATTGCAGGGGGTGAAGTTGCTGCTTTATAGGAAAACACAGAAAATCTCAGTCCGCTGCAGTGGCCCTGTAGTTACAGTGGTACCTTGGAAAGCACAACGTATGCAGAAGCGAAATGCTGTGATAAGATTAAAAAGGTACCAGATAATAGAGTTAGAGCACACACATGAGATTTTGCTCGTGGAAATGGCAGTAAAATTAGAGAAGCAGATCAACCTGATTTCACAGGCAAAGAATGGTTTCAGAATGATGAATCTATAGAATGCACTGCTAATGTTTATAATTTATTAAATCTACCTTAAGGTGCAGAAAGCATTCATATGATGGTGTACTAGAAAGTACTGCTTAAGGTTCTATGAGTCAGCACACTTTTCAGCAGTGCTGTGAATCATACGAGATGTGAAAGCATTTCACATTTGAGCAAGAAGCTCAGATAACTTAGCCTGAAAAGCACTCCTATTCACTCAGCAGGTCTAGAGAGAAACAGAAATAAAGCCCAGGTGGCCTCCCAGTCCAATGCTCAGCCCAGTCACAATTTTGTAGTAAAAAATATGGCAAGACCTGGAAGTCAAACACTACCACACATGTTTGATGCACTGAGAATCTAGTGTAATATAAAAGAAAAATTAGAATAGAAAACAAAAAAGAACACAACCTGGAAGATTAAGCAAAAATGTACTTCCAAAGAAAGTTTATGCTCAGAATCCACAGCTCACGTTGTGATCCTTAGCTCCAAATCTTTGATGTGTAGTTTTTTTTCACACTGGCTGTATTCAGTTACCACTTAAACCATCTTTTGTTTTACTGCACATAAGAATGGAAGAATGGAGGATGAGCAAAGACGGATGGAGAGATGTGGGCAAAGGGTGTAAATAGCAGGCAAGCAGTAGTTTAATAGTAATGCAGATCACAAATGGTCGCTAATGTTTTTTCCTGGAAATATCAAGCAGAACATTATATTACAAGTTAAAAAAAAATCACCTAGCATTTTAACACAATATTTGAATACAAAAATTTTTAAAAAGTACTCAAAGCAGGTACCTAACAACACACCTTTCACTCTTTAGAGTACAGTAGCACTGTTTGGTTTTATGTTTATTTTTATTTAAAGGGTTACAAAGAAACAATGACACAAAGAAACAGGGGCATCCTACTGGATTCATTGATTCACAGTTTCTCTCAGATAACAGACAATGGAGCCAGTAGCATTGTGTGAAAAGGCAACAGGCAGGAAACAGGCACAAAGCAAGCATTCAATTTAAACATGAATGAAAAAAAGATCTTCTTTTACTGTGAGGCTGATAAACAGTGGAGCAGGTTGCCCAGAGAAATTGTTGAATCTCCATTCTTGGAGATATCCAAAACCCACTGCTGTGTTCCTGGGCAGCATGCTGAGCTCACACTGCTTTGAGCAGGAGTACAGGACTAGACAATCTCCAGAGGGCTATTCCAAATTCAACTATTCTGTGAATCTTTAGCTACCAGGTATCAGCAAGTCAAACCTACAAAAACTGAAGTAACTTGGCTACTTGAGCAGAGCAGAAACACAATAAATGACTAAAAATCAAGCATATCTAAAAAACTGAGTTTATTGACTGTGGAACTCAAGATATAGGCACATACCACACTGGATCTTTCCTTGTCTTCAGTCAGTGCCATACTCTACAGGTGTTATCCTTGCTCCCTAGTAATAAAGACATTTTGAGGGAATTGTTTAGCTCTATTGCACAACATACTCAATTTTGTTAACAACTCAATTGACCAGCTACCTGGAAAACAGAGAAACCAGAAGGACAACATTTTTTTGTCCATGACTAGCAAAAGACAGCAGGACCTGTATTTTTCACTGAGATCATCTTGCACGTGGATATTTGGGGGGTTCAGTGCAAAGGTCCAAGCAGTCACAAAACCTGCTCACATTTTCCCACACAGGGAATTTTTGTCTGAAGTAACTGAAACCTGAACAGGCTGCATTGTTCTGTAACCAGAAGGTGTGCTGTCATTAAAAAAAGATTTGTATCTTCCTCATCCAGAACTCCCTCACAGCAGCGCAGTACAAGAGCATGACTTAGACGCTGCTCTGTGGCTACTACTTGCCAACAGATGGTGACTTCATGCTTTGGTACAATTTTTTTCACAGCCCCCACAGCACTTTGCAGACTCTATTTTTTAGCACAATAAAATTGAAAATGTGTTTCAAAACAAAGGAAAGAAAAAAGATAATTTGGGATACATTAGTTACCTGTAATGATTATATTGCCTTTGTAATTGAAAGCACAGGAGAATATCTCATCAGTGTGGCCCTCTAATATCTGAAGGCAGTGTCCAGTAGCAGCATCCCACAGTCGAGCTGTCTTATCAGAGCTGGCTGTTAGAATACGATTGCCTTTAGGGTTGAAACATATCTTTAAAAAATATAGAAAACAATTATATTACTTACCATGTTAACATGCCTGGAAAAGGAAGCATATCTAGAGATTAGAAAATGAAAACAAAAGACAGTAAATAATGTAGTCAGTTTTTCCGCTAAAATCAGCATCACCGCTGGCAGAATTATGTGGCTGGAAACTTTGTACAAAGGTCTGTATGTAATGACCACACAAAAGGATCGAGACTTCAGATCGTTATCCCCCAAGATCAGAACTGCTGTTGTTGTAACAACTTCATTTATACATTATCACTATTCCAATGTAAAATATATGCATATTTTGTGGACATCTTTTTTGAACAACATATGTATCTGTAATATCCAAACTCCCACTGAAGGCAACTTATTCTTCAGTATGTCTTCATATTTTGTTAAAGGTTCATTCCCTAAATTGCATGAATTTCCAGATAATCAGATTTATACATATTTTTAAGAATTAACCAGACAATATCAGGTTTATTATATAATGCATTATTGCTTAATTATTAAGGACAAAATGCCTGTTCCCCTGAAATCAGATTTGCAGGTAATAACCATCCCAAGTGATCACAGCTACACAGAACATCTGCAGAAACAGATTATCTTTTCAGCATGCTCCCAGATAAGCAGATTCTCACTTGCAGCAAAAAAATCATACCAGCCCTGAGGACCCTAATGAATACCCTCCCTAACACTCTCACAGTACATACACAGCATATTTGTATGAAAGCTAGAGAAAGTTATCTATCTGAAAGAATAATGAAAACTCGCAAGCATTAAACAACATTTTTTTAAAATAATACTCAAACTTTTGGAAGCAACTAAATTCATTTGGAGCATTTACAGGTGAGGTCTACAAGTCTTTCACTGAAGTTCATGAGTAAACTCAAGACCAAGCAGTTCTTGAAATGGACTCTTAGCTTCCAAGTATCTTAGGCACCATGTATTTTCCCACAGAAGTATGTTCTTTTGTTCCATTCCATAAATCAGGTGTGCAGAGAAATAAAAGCAGTAAAGAGCAGGAGGTCTGGTGGAAGTGAGGGATAATGGTGATGCTAAAAATCTCAGAAGGCAGTGGCTTCTGAGACTTCACGAAGATACTCAAATGCTTGCGCTCACTCTTTAATAGTATTTCTGTGTCATGGAATAAGTGGTGGGTTGGATGTTACACATAATTAAATTAGAAAAGGTAAGATCACATACAACTTACCTTTGAAATCTCACCTCCATGCCCTTCAAGTTTTGCAATGCACTTTTTTGTTTCTGCACTGTAGACTCTTCCTGATCCTGTTGTAGTAGATTAGGAGCCATTTGTTATTGTTAAGTATGTATTTAAATAAGAACACAGTAATAAGATCTGAAGGGCCACATCCTCAGGTTTGATTTCAAAGGAAATACATGACAATCTTAACACACTTTCTTTCAAGGATAATGTATGTGAAAAGGGACTGTAATTTGGCTGGAAAAGGCTGTCTTCTTAATGGTTTCTACTGTACAACTCCTAAAATGTTACCCAAATGCCCACATCGAGGACGGACCACTGAAGTCTGAAATTTCAGAATGCATGCACATCTTATTCAGAAAGCTTTCATTTTATTTCAGATATACATTCTATTTAATAATCTACTGATTGCATTTCAGAAAACTTTTTACATTGTCTTAAGCATTAATTTTGTAACTACAGTAGATGAGATCCTAATAATGTTCCCCATCATCTGGTAACCTGTTCCTGAAAGTGCAAAATCAGAATAATGTGTAAAGAGAACACGGTATTATCATTAAGTGCAGATGAATACAGAAAATTATTTATTGTGATTCCTAAAAAAAAAAAAAAAAAAGTAGGCATGCTGAACTGCAAAAACTTTCACTGGGGAGAAATTCCAAAGTTTAAGCAGAACTTTCTATAATGCAACAAACATAATCTGATCTATAGTTCCAAGTCATAACACTCTGCTTTGTTCAAGTAAAAACAAAGCAAAAGGACAGAGCTATTTTCATAGTAGTTCCAGTCACTTCACTTACCATCAGCAGAGGCGGTTGCAATACGCTGGCCAGCATAATCAAAGCAGACATCCATTACTTCATCACTGTGACCTGTTAAGGTTGCTATATGCGCACCAGTCATAGCGTTCCACAGCTGCATAGGCAAATAAAGGCTATTTGTTTTGCTTATTTTGACTAATATATTTGATAGATAGCTAGTTGATCAATTAAGTGACATGTATAAGTACTTCCTGAGGCCTGAATGAATGTATTAACATGAAACCTGGATATAAATCAATGAAGAATCACGATTTTGTCAGGTTAATGAAGCACTACATACTTCGTATTTCAATGTATTGATTTCAATGAACCTTAATAATACATAATTATTTGATCGGACTTCACTGAAATGAAAAACTCACGTAAGAAGCTCATAGGTTTTGCATTCAGTTACGAATTCTTTAAGGAATTTATGTATTATTTTAAAATAATACTCTTACATTTACAAAAAACAGAGTTTTATGTATCAATAAGACAATGAGAAAGCTTCCATAAAAAAATAAACAGAAAGGAATTCAAAAAATACAGCAAGGAGATACAAGAGCCCAAATTGAGGAAAAGAATAATTGTCAATCTAAACTGCTGCAATATGCTTGTGCTACCTAAAGAAAGTGAAGAGCAGGTGGCTTTTTTTTTTCTTTCTTTTTTTATTTCCCAAAATTTTGAATTCTTGTGGTTGGGGAGGTGGCTGTATCACACTTAAAAATATCTCTTTGCATGATACTCCAATAATTTATCCTGAGGAATGTCTTTCACAGTGTCCAGCTATCACACATGGCATAGTGGGCTCAGAGCCCAGAAGAAAGTCAGACATTTGATTCCTACATACTGTGAGTCTCTTCCGATTCTGAAGAGCTAGATTTTGAAAATGTTACAGCTTTGTCTGTTTTATAGCAAGTAAAACAAAGATGCTATAGATTTGGATGCTCATTTTTAAATATTGGCACAGTACATCTGTGAAACTGCTGAGCACCTCCTTGTCAGTATTATTTCAATTGTATGCGGATGAGAATCGGACAATCTCACCACTGAAACATAATCCTTTTGCAGTTTAACACTAACAATCACAGGCACTCATTAGAAGCAATCCAAATGAAGAACTAACTCCTAGTGACCTGCCAAAAGTCACATGTGATGCTTGTGACACAAGTATCACCAGAAAAAAAAATAAAAAGAGTAAGACTCAAGGACATGAACTGCAAAATAGTCCCTTTTCGCACTAAAAATATAAATAAGTTGTAATGGCCAGAGCTTGCCCTTTAGTTTAGCTTTACTGGGTGAAATTATAAACTACACTGTTATTAACTTACAGTAAAGTGTTTTAAATAGTCTAAAGTGGTTTTCTGAACAAAAACAGGGACTCACCAAATTCTATACAAAAACAAACAAATTATTCAATGCATTATAATGAGCTTATGTAAAAGAGCTTATGTACTTGGGTGTTCAGTGCATCCTCAACTTTCTTACCATGCATGTTTTGTCCATTGATCCAGTGACAATAAGAGAACAGTCCCAGTTGAACTGTGCACTGCTAATTTCTCCTCGATGGCCTATTAAAATATGCAACATCCTGCAAAAAAGGGAATTTATATATTTTGTGTATATTTTGATATATCAGTATAAGTTATAACCAAGCTTACAAAATGTCATAGGCAAGGTGTCAAATCTTCCCCATGTTAACCATTAAAGCAATCAAATGGAGTGGTGCAGCTCAATTAGCATCCCAGTACTGTGTTAGTTTCATTTTTTCTCTTTGAGACAAAGAGGCAGTAAATAATCAAATGAAAGAGTCCTCCCTTTCTTCTGTTCCAAAACTACTTTAATGACTGTATTGCCAGTGAAATGTGATGACTTCCCAGTGCCAGACATGGATTTATTCTGTTCATCTAGATACAAAGCACATACACCAAGTTTTTCCACATTACTCTCCCAATATTCTGCTTGAATTAACTATAAACAGTGTCTTTTCAAAGCTCCATATCAATAACTACTCAATCTAAATCTTTTATAAAATCCAATGAAGATCCAATGGAACTTAATCGGGTACTTAACATGAACTTGTACCCAAGTAACAGGCAAATGACAGCCAAACTGAAATATGATGTCTAATCCTCATTAATCCTAAACTTCTTGCTGCACAAGGACTGACAATACTAGTTCCATGAAATTGTTCAAACAGTTTTAGCTGAATAGAGGGGTACAATTAGCCATTATTGCTTACTATGAATTAATGAACCCTATAAAGCAATGAACCCTAAAAATGATTAATTGATGTGCATATTAAAGGATTAGAACATTAGGATTTTATCATAATGCTAATAACCACTGTATCGTTAATAGCTTCAACTAATGGATAAACTAATGACCAGAAAAACAACTAAATGAGTTTAAGTAACTGAAATCTTCACATACGATATGTAAGGGTAACTAAATTAATATATATGCTACATTAACAGTTCATAAAGCAAATCTCCTGAGCAACTGAATTCTCTACTTGTTTGACAACAAAAACTCAATTATATTCATGTTGTATTATAGACTCTTCTCTTTCTAAAAATGTAAAGCTTGTATTCTACAGTCCTTTGTATAGTAATGCCAAATCATCAGAGAACAGCGAAATTCAGAATTTTGTGAACATATTATTTGGCCAGCAAGACTGCTGTTACCATAATAGCTAATACCCAAAATACTTCATCATGAAAAGGTTTGAAAAAACTTTGATTTCCAAATCTTGAAAAGACAATCCATGGCTTAAATGTATACCTCTGCTGAATAAGCAGAATGAATAGCACAGAACCACAGAACCCATTATCTATCAGATTTAGAATTAGGAAGAACCCAGAAAACAGACTGGTGAAATGCCATGTAAAATGTTCCATTTAAAAGGAAACACATTGGATTTTTCTCCATCACTATACACATGCTTTCCTTTTATTTACTAATTTGAGAGATATTTCACTTGTTTTCGCAAAGAAAAGAAAAAAAGCAAAAAATTATACCTTTAAAAACACAATAGAATATTTATCTTCATAAATTACCTTGTCAATAATCAGGACAATTATTTTATTATTCTGCTTACAATGAATTTCCAGTTGAAAAAATATGAAGATTTATCAAGATAATACAACAAGCTCATATTTAGCTATTTAATTATTATTTGTTGGCATTATAATCAAGACATTTTGTTCTCTACAGTGAGTGGGATCAAATTTTCTCCTCTTCATAAATATATACTGACATACAGGAGTGTGAGGAGGAAAGTGGACCATCTGTTATTTAAAGTCAATGTGACTGCACAAATTTTCCATGAAACACCATAATTTTTTTTTAATTCTTATTATTTTAACTTAAACAGCCAGTTCCATCTAGAAATTCTAGACGTACAAAACCACAAGTTTCCATGCTGACGAAATATTTTCCTGTTTGGAGCATCCACCAGTAACAACCCTATGGTCTACCCATTGTGTGAGCACTACGGAGGCAGACACATCTAAACCTGTTGCATACAAAAACAGTTGGTGAGAGCACTTCTTTCTAGAAGAACAAAGGGAACTGAATAAAAAATGGAAAGATGAAGTAATACATACTCTAAAAAAGGCAAAAATACACCGTCTGTAATTTGTTTCATTTGTTCAACATTTTCTCTCTCATTTTTCATTAAATATGCAATGTAAAATGATACTTATCAGTACTTTAGTACCTGCCAGTGACAACATCCCACACTCCTACTGTGCAGTCAAAGGAGCCGGTGATAATTCTGTCTCCGGTGGTGTTAAAAGACAATGCAACAATTTCTGCTGAGTGCCCCTAAGAGAATTTAAAAAAAGGACTTTGGGAATGCGAATACCAGCTTTCTATTAACTTATTAACTTTTCAGCAGCACAGATCTTCTTCACCACTTCAGAATATTATTTACTGTCTTGCCCAACATATCGCAATTTTAATAGAAAGATCTACTGGACAGTGAAAGAGTCAATATCCCAACACCTGAAAAAAAATCAGGCACACTGCTGAAGCAGTGAGCAATTGCTGGTGATAGGTGAATAACCAGATAAGTGACTGATATTTCCATAGCTGATTTAAGGAGAATCACATCTGTTCACCAATGCATACTGAAATCAGATGATTCATTTACAGTAAACTACGGTACAGCCTGTCTCTGGTCTCAGTGGAGAGGCTTGGAAAAATGAGCATAAGCATATTTTAACTCTTGTACATTCACACGTTCCACTGCTCTTTTCTCTCCTCAGGGCTCCGAGAGAAAGCCAAGGGGAAGCAAATGCCTTCCCCACTCTATAGGCCATCTACACCAAGGAATAAGCTTATGCTCTACATACTACTTAGGATTTATTCAAGAAAAACTGGAAACAATGCCAGCCAATCAGAACAAATAAAATCCTAGCAAGCCATGTAGAGCAAAAAGAAATCATAATCTATTGGTAACTGAATAGTATTCCTCTGCTTGTAGAGCGAAGATAAATCACAACCTACAGGTAATTGGATGGCTTTCTCATGCTGACGTTTACAGGAAGATAATCTCTGCAGACGCAACCTCTGACACTGATTTTTCTTAGAGTTGTTTTATGTTACTTCAGAGGAGGCGATAAATTGTTGTATAGCAACATTTTAATTAGCAGTGGAAGGCATTCCAACCTATAAAAGTAATGTCACTGAAATGAGAAGATCTATCTTTTGATAAATAGGACTCCTTAAAAACATCATATTCTTATCATTTGCTTCAAGTTTTCCTAATGTTTTCTAACTGTGGTCACTATGGGACTACCTGGTAACAGAAATTCTCAGAAAGTTTTGAATATTTTGTGAGTCAGAAAATTTTCTTAAAAGCAGGAACAACTTCAAAAACAAAGAATGAAAACATACTCTTAAAGTAAATACTACTTCTCCTTTCTCTATATCCCATAATTTGGCAGTTCTATCCATGCTTCCAGTTGCCACCAATGTGCTCTGAAGATTAAATGATAAACATACCTATAGCAAGAAATATTGAAGAGAAAGAAGTGAGAAAAGAGAAAGCAGATAATTTATATACATTTTTTCAAAAGAAAACTACAATATTTCTAAACAAGAGAACAGTCTGAACTAATTTAATAGTTTATGACTTTCAGAAAAATTACAAGGCTCTTCTGACAGTTCATTTGGAGTGCAACAAATCCTTACTCCAAAATTCCTGCTCAAATCTACTCGACTCACAGAGACATGGAACCCAAAGACATGTATGGTGTTGTATGGAAACATAAAGGAAAAAGAAATATCCTTCCACACTCACTATTTCTGCAGTATGTCCTCTGAAAGTATGATAACATTTTCCTGTTTCAGCACTCCACAGTTTGCAGGTTTTATCAAAAGATCCAGTGGCAATCTTGTCACTAAATGGAAAAGCATTGTTTTTATTTAGAAGAAAAAAATCTAACTTCAAAGACTCACATAGAACTCACAGCAACAATATCTAGTCTTCAAAGCATGAAAGTATATTTCTTAAACTGGTGCTTTTAGTTTAGCAATAGTTTCTATCTATTAAATAGCAACCACTCCTGTGTAGATTTGCAAAGCAGAGAATGGCAGCTGGGACCTTCTCTGCCTCTGCTTGTGTGAACATAACGAAGGGCAACTGCCACCCCTTCAGCCAGCAGCCATTCCCTCTGTGCAGCTTGACATGAGACAGAGGTGAATGAATCTGGAGTTCCTTGCAGGAAACTACATGAAAGGCTTTATGCTCTCAGGTGCATTCTGCTGTACTACAAGATCCTAGAGCAGGATTTCACAAACAGAAGTTGCATTAAGGAGAAAAAATAACCGATAACCTATGAGTAACATGAGTCATGAAGTTATCTGCTGTACTTCCAGAAGTATTTAAAAGCTACCTCATTTCAACTAATAGGGTTTGTTTGTTTGTACACTGTTAGAATCTGCTTTATATAAGTAGAAAAGAGGGTGAGCTCTGCTCCCACTTAAGTTAGTGGAAGAGTTGTGAGTAATTGCAGCTAAAATAGAACTGAAGTGAGGTGCCAAAAAAATGTAGCGAGGGAGATGGTATTGAAGCCTAAGGATTAGTAGAAAAAAGTTGTTTTTTAATTTAAATTTTAATTTAAATTTTAATTGAAATGTAGCTCAAGGATCCCCTCAGAATGCATCACTTCTACACTTCTGTTATAATCTAGTCACTGATCTTTGCACAGATTTGTCAGACATTAGTTCATGTGAACTATATAAAACAATTTAATGAATTACTCTTTTATATTAAAAAAAAAAATCAGAATATAAGACACTGACAATGGGTTCAAGGATCAATAGTCTTTTCATTCAAAAGGAAACGATGACATTCCAAATAGACTTTAACATGAATTCCTAATGCTAACTTTGTATTGCTTAGCAGGTAAATAGGATATTTGACAGTGAAAGTAGCTATGTGATTCAATGTAAAAACAGGAAATAATTTCTATCTCATTTTGAAAAGAGGCAAAATGATTTACTTATACAAAAGCTCCCTAATGCAGAAAATTACAACAAAACCTCAGTATCTAAAGTAATTCCTTTCATCTAACAGGTGACAATTCTGACTAAGGCAAACAGTATCTGCAGAAAACAGAAGATGCACGTATGCATATTTGACATCCATACAGTGGCACCCTGTGGATTTCATAAAAATTACTCATCTCTGACACATCTGTATCATGTCTTAAATCATAATGAATGCTTAATATGCATGCAATACAAAAAGTGGAAAAATCCACTTTTGTTATGATTTTATTCTTCCTTAACTGAAGTAACAGAAGTTTTGAATTTCTAAATATACTTTAAGCAGAAAATGTTCTTAAATGTATACATGTACATACAAAAAACATACAGTGTCATCCTATGGTGATTAGCTGCAGTTGAACTTTTTCAACTCAGAATCTGAACTGTCTGAAACAGTTTATCTTATTTTAAATTATCAATTATGATTTATCTTAGAGAAAATGTATTTACCCATAGGGATTATTAAAAGCTATTGCATAAACAACGTTTTTGTGTCCCTCCAGTGTATGCAACTCTTCTCCTGACGCAGTATCCCATACTTTGCAGGTTCTGTCATAGCTTCCTGTGATAAAGCTAAAACAAAGAGAAATTTATTTACTGTGAATACCACACTATTCCTGTATTTACTCAAATAAGTGACTTCCACAAACTTCAGTTATCTTTATCTCAGACTCTGAATCTTTTCATTATTTCTAAAATACTGACTAATGACCACAGTTCTTTTTCTTTTTTCTTTTTAATATTAGTGATAAAAAAAGACTTGTTTCTTTAGTGTATTTAATTAAAACACAAGTTGCTGCTTTCAAATTTTCAAAACAGAAATGAAAAAACAATTAGGCATAGGCTCTTAGTGAAATCAGTCACGACAGAATTCCGTAACAGTGAAAGTCCCAAAGAAGTTTATGCCAAAGACTTTCTGAGCTTTTAGTGATACTTGCTCTGTTGCCACAAAGGTCCTTTTCTATGAAATATGGTAATCATCAATAAACTGTCATCTTGGAAGAACAAAAAGACATCAACTGAGTCTCACCCACTATATTTTGGCATCTCCCATTGGCTCTTCTATAGAAGATGAAAATCTAATCCCCAGTCACACCTGAAGTTGTTAATAAATAGCAAAAATATGCGAGCACTGAATTTCACTTACAATTTAATTTACAAGACTTCAGTTAGGTATTACATAGTTAGAATTTGAAAAGAACTTACCGGGAACCAGATTTGTTGAATGCTACATTTGTCAGTGGCAATATATGTGCCCTAAGTACCTGAAATAGAAGGGGAAGGGAGCAAGAGAAGAAAGCATTTGATATATTTTAAAAACAAGTAAAAAATCAAATTCCTCAAAATATTCAATAGGTCAATATTTTCTCCTCCTCCTTTCAGATTAGCAATTATGCCTGTAATATATCAGCCCCTCACTGAAACAAAAGCAAAACAAAAAATACCCTTGCCTCAGCAGATTATTGCTGCAGATATTACATGGTATTGATTTCAGATTCTTATTTCACTTGAATGAACTGCCTTTTCCCAATGTTTACTTCTCCTCTGCTCTCTCTGAGACCAGTGAAATAGCCCTAGGCCATATCTGAAAGGCCAAAAACAAATGCCTGGTGACATCCTTAATGAAAAAAATATGGCAATTAAGCTTTAGATAGTAAAACAACAGATCTGACTGAACTGAGTATTTTGAAATATGTACGTCATATATAGTATGCTTTTGGCTATTACATGATTTTGTTTTCAAAAACAGGAAGAACAAAAACAGACTGTAGCTCTATCTTATGAGATCATGACAGAAAAGTATATAGAACCATAACAAAGTTACTTATCCAAACAAAATTCAAAGAAGGGACTTAAAATGAATTTTTGCCTCTTTTGTTTAGGTTACAGAGTCTACTGTTTTTCTAACACTGAAGAACTTACACCTATTACAAGCTTAAGTCTGAAGAGTAATAGTATAATAACATAGGAAATCACAGCATCTGCTGACAGTGAAGGAGTGTTATAAATACAGCAGTGGTCCGCTGCAACATCTCTGCAACATCTTGAATGAAGAAGAAATTATTTATGAGTAATGCTATTTAATCACTGAGATGTTACCACAACTTTTTATTTTTATCTCTAGCTTTCTCAGCTGCCTGTCTCAGAAAGGAAAACAAAGGAAGGTCAGAGATGTTCAAGACAGACAAGTAGGAACTGATGGAAGGGAAATGACAGTGATCAGGCAAAGGACAGAGAGAGATACAGAAAAGGCAGGCTTATGTTACATTTTAGATCACAGAATTAACACTATTCTTTCAGCTTTCAGTGCTGTAGTAACTTCAGTCACAGAACTCCAAGCCTGCAAGAACAGCTTGTGCAAATGATATAATAATCAAATCCTAGGGTGATATTAAAAACATACCGCAGTTCTGCAAGTGACAGCAGCCTGTTGCAGCAGTCCCTAAGATATATGCCAATCAGTATGGCACGCCATTGCTACCCAGCAGTTTCAAATCTGAGAGCTTGTTACAATGGCTTGCTTCTCTGTGGGGTGCCTAACAAAACACTATCACCACAATTACTGGAAATAACAAAAGGATAGGTTTACATCAGTGCCTATCTGCCCTCTTAAGATTATGCTCTTGTGCAACAGGAAAAAATATTTATTTCCAAACAATGCAAACACTGAATATCGTTTTGGGAAAAAAAAAAAAGAAAAAAAAGAAAAAAAATTTTGCTCATACTGATCTCCTGTATTAGTATTTTGGAGAAGTCTGACACTTGTGTTTCATTTACACGCACAGAAAAGTATGTACTTCTAGCTACTTGAGAGAAAGAATTAAGCCAGAACTGATTGGATTTCCCTGCTTGGAGTATTTCCAAATTGATGAAACATGGTTCTACACACAACAAACAACAAGTACATTATTTATTCTGAAATTTGGATGTGCAATTGAGTATTTGCCAGTCTCTGTGATGAGCAAAAGAAAATGTAAAAGATTGTGAAAATTAAGTCATCAGCACAGCTGAGGGCGTGCCTTAAAGCACAGGAAAGACTTAAAATTTAAGATGCCTGTTTCCAAGGTTGAATGTACAGATCTTTTGTATTATTCACTCAGATGTGCACTTCTGGTCAGAAGAATCAAAATTATAATATATTATATGTATATAGTAACATTTCAAATTCTCCCTTCTCCCTCTTATGTTTAGGGTAACAAGCAGTACTGACCAGCAATTTTTAACAGCTAGACATTGCCATCTGCTGACACAATACAGACAGAACACTTAATTATTTCTGATTGCAACATGCAATCTCTGGAAGTGATTTTATTCTACTTTGCACAGTTAAATACAGTTAAGTTTACTGTCTTCTGACAGACTAAATCCTGGATTTGAAGACCCAGAAGGTCGCTCTAGTCATTGCTCTTAAAAAGCTTCCCTATTTAAAATAAAATTGCATAAAATTTGTGTCTGTAAACTGAGATCAAACCATCAGTATTCAAATCTTTACAACTTAAAAGGAAAACAATTTAGCACAAAACAGCACGAACACAGCAACTATGATTCCCTTTCTCAAAGAAAAGAAATGTGAATGAGGAGTAACGTAGAAGACAAAAATTCCTTAAGCAGTGTTATTATGGGCCTCGGGCCCAATGCTGAGATGATGTTTAGAAGGCTTGGCATATAATTCCCTTAAAATTATCTCCTAGTAATGGTCTACTAAATAAATTATTATTTTTAAGATCAACAATATTGAGTACATGACTAATATTACCTTTTCCATCAGTTTTCCAAGTACAAAAGATCAAATAACTCTTTTATTATCATTATTTCATGTATTATTCCAGTCCTATGGACAGGATTCACTAAATAAGGCTTTTATGAACCCCCACCTTCTAATCTGCTACTTTAGCCAGTTTGTTGGCTCATCTCTTGGCTGGCAGAAAGTAATGACAACTGGTATGACTGTATGCAACTGAATACTTAAAACGAATATAAGTTCCACAGAATGAAGAACAAGAACACAATTCTATAAAAAATATTCAGGGCCTTTCCCAGCAGCTAATTATTTGGATTCTACTTACTGACTTTCTTTAAACATAACAATGGGTGTTCCTTGTTCACAGAGTCACTTGTAAAGGAAGGTAATTATTTGTCTCACACCCTCACACATAAGCCTGTGTAAATAGTGAGTTGGAATAGTTATACCTCTGGCCTTCTGGGGGAATTCCTGACAGGCACAACCAGGCCAGATTCAGTCTCTCTAAACAGTAGAGAGGTGATCAAAAATACCCAAGAAATTAGTCATAAAATCCAAATTTTTGCTGTCAGGTACAACGTACAGCTGCAAAAACATAATCACAACATTTCAACTGAAACCCTCAAAATCTCCAATCTCATTTTAAAGATGTTTCTGACCTTAAAAAGATAGAATTTGTGGTCCTCTTGTTCCCCTAGTTTCTCTTGCAATCTTTGTACTAAACGTATGACGTGTTCCTTGCAAGAAGCTGTGATGAGAGGTTCTTCTTTTTGAATTTCTTCTACTAAGGCAACGACATCTGAGCTAGTTATGAAGAAAAAGATAAGCACATTTCATCCTCTGGTAATTACAAATACAAACATAGTATTTCTTGCAGAGAAATTAAAGCAAGGAATTAAACAATATGCATTTATCTGATGGTGTAATGGCTTATAGAAATATGAATAAATCTTTCCTGGTTTCTTTACCTCTGTCCATCTTTAGTAAAGCATTTCAGTAAGATTTAACTTTTAAAAATTTTAGCTTGGTAAGAACTTTACTTTCTTGAAGGGTTTCCACAGAGGGTCAGACATGGGATCTGTGCATCCAGAACTGACAGTTTAGAAATACATATTTAAAGTGGAGCTTCATAAATCCCCAATGAAATACCCATGAAAGAGCAACAACATAAATAATATTTGGAGAGTGTTAAAATGATCTCTCTTCATGGCTTCATAAGCATATGTCTGTTCCTGTAACTTTTATTTATTATAACAACTTCCAAATCATGGTCCACAGTTCACTAGTGCTCATGGAGCAGCCAAGAAGTAGTTCATCTTCTCATCACATCAAACTGCTGACTCCTGGCCATGCATGATTAAACAGAGGATTGACAATACCCAGCAGTCAAAACACAAACACACACTTATAACTACTGAGTTATAGCTACTGAGGAAGCCCAGACTTTCTGCTAGCACATAAGTAGAAAACTGACTTCAGACTTCAATGATTTAAGTCCTCTAAACAGGAGACACTAACATCCCCACCAGTCAGTATCTTCTTAGTGTTATACCCTTGCTAATACAAGACAACTTCTGTCTTTCACAGTATGACTCATTTTATCCAGAGTACTGTGCTGAAAACAGTAGACAAAAGACAAAGTAGACAAGTAGACAAAAATACATAATTTTTAAATGTGGATCTCTTAGCTTACATGTGCAGGCTACATTGACTACTGATTTTGCCCTCTTGCAAGAACTCTTTCACATGAGTGTCTGTACTAAGAAAGACAACTATATAACATCATGTCTTTCTGCCTAACAAACTCAATGGATTTTGGCAAAAAACTTTATTTAACGGTGGCATTTTTTTGTTGTTTTTTTGAAATTCTTCCTACTAGAGCTTGCTGAATAGAGCATGTAGGCTGACTGTTATGATCAAAACTGTGACTAAGGCTCTTAGCTTTTTTTCTTTTTCATTTTGGTTTCCTAGAGGAAGGACTCACATGGAAAAAAACAGAAGAAACAATCTGAAATCTGCATAAAACGTGATAAACTTTCCATGGTGTTGAAAGCCAGCAAAAGAGTTCTATGAAAAACTCCACTAGATATGACATGGAAGTTCATGAATTGTCCCATAACTTTTAGGTGTACAAATATTTGATGTGAGTGAAAGAGCCAGACATCTTGTGGTAGTGTCAACTGAGAAGACAATGCTCATAAACAAAGCAAAAAAAACAAAGCATGAAATTCAGTGTCCACTCAACTCCCTCTCCCCCAAAGACAAAGAAAAGACAACAACTTTTTTGGACACAACGGTGGTCAAACAACAGGAGATTTCCCAGAGAAAGTTTAGGAGACTCCACCTATGGGGATGTTCAAAATCGAACTACGGAGAGTCGTGGTCAACCTGCCCTAGGTTGCCTGTACTTTTTATGTTCTCAAGAGGTCCTGATCAACCAAAACAATCCTCTGATCCTGTGACATACTACATTCTGTAACTGACTGCACAGCACTGTCAGTAATGCTGGTGCATGAGTTAGATATAGCAGTATTAAAGCAATGTCAGCACAGTAACTTCTTAAGTCAATATTATCAGCACAACAAACATCTTATTCTTCACAGGGAAGACATAAGAGTTTCCAATTGGTGCCTTCCAACTGCCCAAAAGCCAGAGTTAGAGGTTACTGATGACTATCCCCTCCACAGTAAACCTCATTTCCTTCCTCATTAAAGTTACCTCTGTCTTTTATGTTACTTAAGGATATCCTATTAAACTTTACTCCATACTTTAACACACACTGCATTTTTTATTCTTCAGTGTAGCCTATGCTTCACCTTTACACACATCATGATCCTGAAACTTCTTTCAACACCTGCAGAAGATTAGAATACTGGATTATGTTTTCTTCTTTCAAAGAACCCAACAGCAATTAGGCTACTAAATAAAGAAACAGAAAATTTCCATTTCCACTGCTTTCGACACGTGACTTACTTTCTCCACACAAACACAAAAGAGGAAATTATCTGTCTTACACTACCTTGCTTATGGTTGTTATGAGGATTAACAAAACAAGAGGAGAGCTCTGAACTGACATCCAGTTGGTTCCAGTGATTTCAGCAGAGGTCATGTAAAGCAGTGTATGGGGATCTGAGTCAGACCAACTTTGTGAAAACACTCTGAAGTAGTATTGCAAGACCTAACTGTTGCCCACTGCATCATTACAAAGTAAGGCACTGTAAAACTCACCATCTCTGATGGCTCAGTATAGGCATCTTGATAACCAGCATTCTGTGAGAAATACAAGAGGCTCTAACTTTGAACAGCAGCACAAAGCAGGATGGAACACAAGATTTGCTATTTCAAGCGCTAGGAGAATGATTTGACTGCATTTTCTTATCTGTGCGTGTGTTTTAGTGAAAAAAGGCATCACTGACCTCAGTTATGCTTAAAACAGTCAAATAGAGTTGTACGTGAATGCAATAAAAGAGCAAACAGCTCTGCTTTCTGAAATAAATACTTACTGAGGACTAAGATCAAGTAGATCTATAGATCTGGTCTTCAGCTCACCACCTTCTACATATTCCAGAATAATTCCTTATTAAAAAAAAAAAAAAAGTGATAAACGTGTCTTAATTAGATGATGTGGATTCCATAACACACACAGTTCTCGTGGCTGGCAGGAGGCCGGGCGCTCATGCAGCGCTGAACAATCCTGAAGAGAGAACGGGTATTAAACATCCCTCCCTAAAATATTTATGCTCCATTTTCAATTCTAGAAATTAAGAAAAGGCTTATGAGTTTGGTTGGGTATTTTTTCGCATTATTTCAAGCCAGCCGTACTGAAGGCGCTCGCTGCGGTTCACTTTCTCCACGCTGTAGGAAAACGTGTAAAACCTGCCGGCTGCCCGCAGAGCCCGGCGGGCGCCCCGACCTGCGGTGGGAGGCGCGACGCGCCGCTTCCTGCTGCGAAGCGGCCGCCGGCAGAATCCTGCCGCCCCTCCGCCTCCCGGAGAAAAGGATACGTTGGAGGAACACCGCACCGCGGTGTCACCGCCGCACGTGCGCGACCCGCTCCATGCCGGCGCTCAGAGAGCACCCGGCGGGAAGCCGCCCCTCCCCGCGCGCGCACAGCCGCTCCGCGCTGACAGGACCGACCCCCGCCCCACGGCAGCGCCCCGCGACCCCAGCCGCGCACCCGGCGGGAAGTAGCGCAGCAGCAGCCGCTTCGGCCCCATCTCCGCCGCCTGCGGCTCGTTACCGCGGCAACGGCCAAACGAAGCGTGCGCGCATGCGCCGCCGGCTGCCATCGCCTGGTCGGAGCTGGTGGCACCGCTGCGTCCTGAGCGGGCACCTCAGAGTCGGTACTGAACAGCCCAACGGGAGGCCTGCGCAGGACCTGGCAGATTAACTGCGACAAGTTAAACGGCAAACAAGTTTTCATTTCGCGGGTCTCATAGCCCTCGTGGGTCTACATAGCCCATAGCAATGATGGGGCCACCCGCAGGGGGTTCAGATCAGCGTTCAACCATACGTGACTTCTGCAAAGCAGCCCTGCGGCTCCCTGCAGGTTGGCTTTGAAGGCAGCCCTTTGGTCTTGGGAAGCCAGGAAGTCAAACATAATGGCAATTCCAGGTTTGCTGTGCGACGTGACTGGGGTTTTGGTTTGATCCTTTGTCTTATTTGTACGTGGAAGGTCAGTTATCTCCAGTCAGATGGGAAATGTTTTTATTGAAAGCAATTAATCTAAACAACCTTCCAACAGAACTGACTCAGAACAGTCCTGTTCAAATACAACTTGGTGGTCTCCAGTGGCTCACAGCCTTTTGAATTTGTGTACTACGATACTTATCTGTCCTGATTATAATTTCTGAATAGAAATATTTTTTTCCTAACATAAGTGATGCTAACAATGAACCTGGACATGCTTCCTACATTAACTCCTTCCTCTCCATTCTTTGTAAACACAGTCGTGCAGCCTATTTAGTACCTTCAGTATTAGTTAGCACCAACTAGAATTGTAAAATCATAGACTATCCCAAGGTAGAAGAAACCTGTAAGGATCATTGTCCTGGCTCCGCACAGGACTACTCAAAAAATCAGAGCCATATGTCTGGGAGCATTGTCCAGAAGCTTCTTGAACTCTGCAAGCTCAAGGCTGTGCCCACATCCCTGGGTGTTCCAGTGCCTGACCACCCTCTCGGCAAAGAACCTCTTCCTGATATTCAACCTGACCCTCTCCTGTTGCAGCTTCATGTTTTTCCTTCAAGTTCTATTGCTGATCACTAGACAGAGATCAGAGCCTGCCTCTCTGCTTCCCATCAACTAGAAGCATTATATTTACATTTTTAGTCTAATTTAAAGGTTTTGTACTTTTATACGGCAAAAATAAGGAGTACTTGCTATTTTAATTTAATATTATTATATGCATCTTTTCAGTTCTGTACTACAGAGTGATATTTACATCAATTACTATGACATTCTCCAGAAATATATTTTTCAAGATTTTGTGTATCATTTACCACAAGCTTTTTTTTTTTTTTTCTTTTTTTTTTTTTTCCATTTTTCATAAGACTCAGGAAGGACAAACACAGCCCAGTCTGTGCAGGGGGGAGGAAAGTGGAACGACCGCAGAGCCCCATGACATCAGCACCTGGTGGCTCAGCACGTTCTCACTTTGCCTTATCCCTGTGAATCTCCATCCAAGCACACGCCTCGTAGCTTGTCATCACTCTGGAGCAACAAGCAGGCATGATGCGGTGATGAGCAGTCATCATCAGGCAAATCAAGCCTTGACACTCATCCCCCTTCCCTGGTGACATAAAGGCACCGACATGATGGCACTGTATACTCTACTTCTGTAGAATAACTAGAGAAAATTGCTGTTCTCCTGAGCACTGAATAGCTACACTATGCTGAGGTTTTTCCCAGAGTGCCCTAGGACAGACCTGTGTGCAAAATAGATGGTACCTAACAGTAAGTTTTTCTGACAAAACAGAACTACAGCTGAGTAGAGGTAGGATTACCCACAGAGATTTTAGGCAGCATAGATTACAGCTACGGTGAGGGGAAGCACTTCAACACAATTAATTGCTTGAGGGCAAAGCAAGCAGGAGCTCTGATGATGCACCCAGGTAGGCAACCTGAGCTGAGTCCAAGTTCTTAGACTGCTAACGTAAAATTATTGACTGAGATTTTGTAGCATCCAATGGGTACACATGGCCTCAAAGCCAGGAAAGGTCATCTTCAAAGACCATACACACACCATTAAGAGTTCAAAAATATCTACATTGGGAAAAGGGGGAAAAAAAAAAAAAAAGGGAATACTGAAACATTCTTCCAGGATCTGCAGGATCTGCAGCATTTAATCAGCTTTTAGGTAAAGAGATCAGAGGTATTGATGTAGGAAAGAGCATACATCAGTTGCTCCCTATGCATTTTTGCTTTTGTAAGCAGTTTGCAGGAATGGCAGAAAGCTCTGTATTGTAGACTTCGCTGAATATCAGACAATATTCAAATGCCTTTGAAAGGCTGCCGATCTGGAGTGCTGCAGGGTGCTGGATAGCATGATGCAAAGTTAATACAATTACAAAGAGTTTCCTGTTGAGAAATCTGGGTTGTTTCTGCCAACACAGATTGGCAGAAACAGATCTCTATTTTCCTGAGCCAAAGAACCATCCTAAGAAGAATAATATGAAGAAAGTGTTTTTTGACTCAAACATGCTTTCGCTTGCAGAGAAGAGTGGGTTTTAGGCTTCCTGATTTAAACTTGCATCGTGACCCACTTGTTCTGAAGTAGGTCAGTCTGCGGTATGCTGAACTAAATCAGAAAGGCCAGCACAAGAGTAGTCTGAGTTAAGGGAAAAATGTAGAAAGCCACTTCCTATTTTTGTTATGTCAGTAATAGGCGCAGTGAATTTTTACTAAGGGGAGTTTTGCATGCTGTCCTTTCTCATAATTGCAAGGTCTGTCAGATGCAGTAAGTCTGTGCTCTGATATTTCCTTGTTTCTGCTTGGTGAATTAAATGGGTTTAGGTAAGTTTTTTCAAGGTTGTTCTATGGGTTCCTGCTTCCTGCTACTCAAACACATATCCCTTTGTGCTTCCCTCTGCATCATTAGTACACCTTCTCACTTCTGCTCTGTTATTTCCAATACCATTTATGGTACCAGAGCCACGAAAATGTCAAAACTCTACATAGGAGATGATTTTCTAGTTTTCTGTTTGTGAGTTAAGAGCTACTCTGGAGAAAGAGCTGACAGCAAGTTACATGTATGTTAACAAAATGCACTCTTTCCTGAAGATTCTGTTTATCATCTTTGCATGGCCGTTTTCATCAATTTAAAGTTATACCAAATAAACACGCATAGAGAGAAAGAGTTGCTATTCACCTAAGAAGTACGTCACAGGTTTCTATTTGCAGATGCACATGTTGTTCATGTGAGATCATAAGCACAGGAAAAGAACAGTTGATCTGTTCATTGTTCTTTATGTCCATCTACTACTTCTTACAATTTCCCGCAATTGAATTGAACTAATTCTATATATTCTTCTTTTTTGTCAAATTTTCACTTAGCTAAAAAGAAGTTTTCCTTTCCACGTTTTAAGAGTGAGCTTTCTTTCCTTTCTTCATCTCACCACACTAATGGGTAGACTTGGCACCAGAAAAACTCAAATTAAAAAAGCCCCACACTATTTTCCTCTCCCTACTCCCCCCCCCCCCCCCCCCCCCCCCCCCAAATATATATTGACCTTACCCTCTCTGAGAAGAATTCAGAACTGCCTTTCATCTTTCTTTCTATGGTCCAGACTGTGTGGGGCTGAGGACCTTTCAGTTGAGGAGTTCTTTATCAACTTATCAAGATGGCAAAGCTGATGGCATCAGGTAATTATGCAGGTACTCTGAGGTCAGACTGAAAACCAGTGAGTTATCCGGATGTACCTAGAGAGGAAAATGGAGGAGCACTTCTCTTGAAGTTAATTACCTAACACACAGTTGAATCAAACCAGTTTGAGTATGGTGGAAGTAAGAACTCCAGATAAATAACAGGATTTCTACTAAGTCTGTAATAGAATTAATGAAGATAAGTAAGAAAAGCCCCTTTGTGTTAGAATACAGAGTTTCATAAAAGTCAAATCTGTTTCTTTCACCACTATGCTTGTAATAAAATAATAAAAACGTCAAAATATCTCATTTGGTCTTTTATATCTCATTTTTATAATGCCAAAATGAGTTAAGAATTTCATAAAAACCATAATGTTTTCCACATTTTTGTATATGTTTCATTAAGTATGAGAGTCCTATTATGTTGTCTCTGTGTATCTTGTATTCTAATTTTTCTAACCATCATTTTATTGTAATTCATATAGTATCATATACGTACGTATATCATTCATTCAATGTAATTAGCATTAATACAGCACCACTACCCACTTTAAAATTAACACAAAATTTTTGCCTGTTCTTGTAATAATTTGTAGCAATCTTATAGATTGAGCATCTCTGAGATTTGCATGATCTCAAACAGCTGATATATATATATTTCCCTCTGAAAGATGCTTTGACCATTTATTCCTAGTCAAAACAATCTCAAGTTTTCAGGTGCCCGCTGGAACACCTAATTGTATTTTTCAGCCAGTTTTAGTAAATGTAATTTTTTTTTTCCAGGTCTGCATGGCATTTTACATTCAGGTTGTTTGTATTCCACATGCAGCTGTGTAACAGAGTCACATTTGAGTGAATAGTTTAAGTCACCATACTGACCACTCCACAGCTCTGATTTTATCTGAAAAAATTTATCTGAAAAAAAATTTATCATTCTCAAATTCCCATTTCCCTACTTTGTAAGTTTATACTGATCTTACTAGCTTTGTACCTGACCAATGATGCTGCAAGGATATTAAACATCTCATTTAATCTTGACACTGTAATTGACAATTTCAGTGTAAATTGGGCCACTTACTTGAACCCACCTCTACTGACACAAGTCTAATTAGACTAACTGTTTAATCCACGGCACCTCGATATTTCTCTGAGGTGTGAGTCCAGAGCATTTTACAGATTTGTGTTGTTCCTCTGTCCTTGACTCTTAATGATGATTTCCACTGTCATCTCAACATTTGTTATATGAGTTCTTGGTACATAGTTTATCACCTTGCAAGCCACGTTCCTTCAATAACCATCTGTGTTTTGATTTTTATCTTCCAGAAAATACTAGAAGATATAAAATTTAAAATTAAATTATACTAGGCTGTCCTACGCATAAAATTATTTCACCTTGGCTCATGGCCACACAGTCACAGAAGACAGTCTGCATCACAAATGTACCTACAGGTTGAATCTCAAATGAGAAATACTGTGTGTTCTGATTCGTGCATTTTGGTACACACCTTCACTGAAGATACAACCTCCTCTACTCTCTGTCTAAGTGAATCTTTTTCCCTAAGTTACTTTATGTCGTAACTATCTTTTATCCAGGTCTTATCATTCAGGCTTTCTCACCAGGGAAGTCCAAGTGCCACGCACTTCCCATTGCCAGGAACTGGTTTGTCTGCTTCTCCTCCTTTCTTTCCACAAGCATGTTTGACCAAGGTCAGGTCTTCTTCACATCCTTCAAACTGCCAGCTAAATAAAAGCATACATGATATCTTATTATAACTAAGTGTGTCTTCTCACTCACCATGGCACAAGAAACAGTTTGTGTTAGCACCTGAACAAGGAAAATCTCTGCAGCTTGTAGGCCATTATATCCATCACAGGCAGTAAAGAAGGAGAAAACAAACAAACAAGTGAACATAAATCAGACAGAAAGAATGTACACATCTTCAACTTAAATTAGGACTGCAATTTTTTGACTGAAGAAGTGGCTCAAGATCGTAATTTCTGATAACTGAAAGTAGTAATTACAAGAAATATGGCAATAGCACTTTGTCTCTAAATTTCAGCAACCGCAGCTATTGCTCAAAAAGCATGAGTAGTATGATATCGTGTTGAGTTGTTCTTCATCTTTTGTTTTCCAAGGCTTTCTCTGTAATTCGAAGTGCTAAGAAAAAAAATCGCTTTTCAGAAAGGTGAAGTCTGAGAATTTCAAGTAAATCAAGATGCTTCAGGAGATGAGCTAATGTGAAAACCCAGTACACTGGAACAGTCTGTTTCAGGAATATGGAAATGTAGGTATGGATACTTACAAATGAAATTGTTACTTTATTTTGGAAGTATAAACTGAATTCATGTAAGGAAAACTAGAGCAATGGCGCTGTAAGTTTGTTAATGGCATTTAATAATAGTATTTAACACTGCTTTTCCTGTGATATCTTTGCTTTTTGATCATCGTATTCTACATTCTGACTCCATCACATTAATTATGTATTTAAGACTGCACAATCTTTGAATAAAGCTGTGAGAATAAACTATTTTGACAGAAGACTATTAAGAGCTTTATTTTATTTTATGGTAGCTACAGGAGAAATACACCATGACAACTCTTAGGAAGTTATCTGCACTCCTTGCACAATGTACGAGGAACAAATTCATCAATTTTAAAACCTTAGAGTTAGGATTGTCACACTGGACAACTAAAGCTGACATCTCCCAGAACCACAAAAATAAAAAAGACGTAGAACACACTTTTGCATTTGTGTAAATGTATATCACTACATTTTATTAGTAAACTTGCCATAGGTAGTGACTGCTTTTGATCTAAAGACTGAAAACTGCTTTTATGATTCATATTTTGGTAAGGGATGTTGCTTGTTGCTTGGTATTTGAGATAACTCTGCCAGGGTGTAACACAGCTGAGATCAGCATAAGGAAGACTTTTCACAAATAATCACCTGTACTGTTTTGGTGTTTATCCAGCTGGGAGAATGCCATTAAAGTCCAGTGTCAGTTTCATAAGCCTAAAGCCTTTCTAGGTTCACAAGTTCCCTGATTCACTTCTCAGTAAAATTACAGCTGAACAATGCATTCCTGTTCAGAAGTTCGATTACATGAGGGCATGTTGGTGCTGGTAATTGAAAGTAACTGACCAACTATCAACACCCCTGCAAAAGAGCTAGAAGTGTATTTGTCACTAAGCACACCTAATAATGATTGATTTTCAGTAAGATAATGTACCTGAAATGATGCTCACCTCAGGCTAAGAAAAACATATTTACCTTTCATTTTGACTCACACATGTGTTATGACCCCCACTTTGTGTAGACAGCAGGAAAAAAAGTGAGGAACAACAAAAACTTAATTGTTAGGAGCCACAGTCAACTGAACAGTAGTTCAACAAACAACTTGTTAGTACTTGCCCAACGCATGAAATGCAATAGGATTTATATTTTAACAGCAAAATGAAATCAGAATGATTGATACTGCTTCAGAAAAGAATTGCTGTCCACACAGCACTAAGTTATTTTTGTCATCAGCATCTCTGCTGCCTTTCATTAACATCTACTTTTTTTTCAGTATCTGTAAATACATAATATGCAGTGGCAGATAAAGATGCATACTAAGATGCATACTAATCCTCACTGGATACATTTTTCTATATACATTTTTTCCCTGAGATAATTTCAAAGGACTATAACAGATATGACAGTATAATATTTAAACAGTTTTTCCCACTAACTACAAAAAGATCCGTATCCAGAACTGGAACAGATTCAGATCCAGTCATTCATGCATTAGGCAATACTAATCAATGTTGGTCATGCTGCTTTCTTCAAATTAGAAACTTACACAGTAACAATATCTTCACAGTTCGGCTGTCAGCTGCTGTAACCGATGAGAACCAGAGGAGGCATTTTGCTGTGTGTAGGAAAGGTAGAAACACGGTTGCCGTGCACTGGAGTGGGAGACACTTACACCTGTTCCCAAGGTAGTCTTTGGAAAACCTCAAATTCTGACATTTTAACATCAGCCCATTTATTGTGCCTACACCATTTCCCAGTCTGTAATTCAGCTCACGAGCATTTTGAGCCTGAATGAGAGCCTATCCCAGAGCTGGCAGGAGTGGGGCAGAGCTCTGTGGTTTGCCTCAGCCCTATCAAAAAGTCCGGGAATTCCCAGGCAATGTGCTGGATAATTGCTTGTCTCGGAGGGTGATAGGTTCCTTAAGGAACTCTTTTCTTTTTATCATAAGGAATATGGAATCCACCTGTTGGAGAATAAAGCGAATTAATCACAGCTTTACCCACAGAGAATCGCTGGTTTCCAGATTTACAGGTCCAGAAGTAGATTGCATAAGCCCTGTCAGATTTTAAAAGCATAATCAACAGCCTTATATTCATAAATGCCATAAAAACCACATCTGGTGTCCTTGAAAGAGAAGCTGAAGAATAATTTTAAAGTTAAATTTAACTTAAATGTAAGTTAATGCTTCTTTCTCTGTGACTAAAAGGTACCAAAGGCCAAGGCATAGATTTATTTGCAAGACACTGGTACTGACATTGAGTACAGTTGCACAGCCTACCTGGTCATGGAATCATAGAATCATTTGAGTTGGAAGGGACCCTTAAAGGGCATCTAGTCTAACTCCCCTACAATGAACAGGGACACCTATGGGTGGAACAGGTTGCTCAGAGCCTTTAGATATTGAAAGATCACATACCTGAAGTCTGTGTGAGCCATGTAATAGCAGCAACAGAGCTGAGTAGTCTCCCCCATTTACCTGCACCCACATCCTACCAACTCCTTGAAGATCCTTTACTTTTGTCATGCATCATTTATGGTGTGTTAGTGGCTACAGACTTCCACCAAGAATATTTCATTATGCTAACATGAGGAAACACAAAGGGGAAGAAAGCATTGCAAATTTCTCCTCTAGAGATGACTAAGTTGAGAGCAGACTCTTACTGTAATTACAAGCCTTGCCAGTGAATTAGGTAGAAGCTTACTGATGTAAGGTTTCTCCTGAACAAATCAGTAAAAGAAATTCCCTCAAGTCTCATTAATGTGAGATTGAGCTAAAAATGGGTCTTTGTGTTAAGGAAAATTTTCCTATACCACCATTCCCCGGAGAAGCAGAAGGAGTTGTGTACTATGGATTCCATAGCTACCCACATTGCAAACAGAGCAAGGTGAGCAGTGGCTTTAACAGATGTGAACACACTTGAAATAAATTCCTTTGATCTTGAGCACCTGCTAAAATAATTACTCAAGGTGAACTCATCACCTCTTTTAATGACAAAAAAAACTTACCACACAGTGCAGTTTTTAACATTTATTTTTAGCTCCAGTTTCCATTTTATTTTTCCCACAAGAACTTTTTCAAACAATAGCCTAAAAATTATTATAATGCTAACTCCAGTTAAAAGGAAAATTCTGGCACAAGATAGTGCCAAGAAGTAAAAAAATAAACAGAATAAATAACCTTTACAAAGATTTACAAATGCCGAGCAACACAATAGTACTATGCAATAAGCCTAATACAGTTCATGCTCTGTACAATAGCTTAATGAAGTTTTTACTAAATAGTACTCGTGTCATATTAGTAAACCTAGAAACTTCAACAAAATGCTTAATTCAAGCAAAACAGCGATGCAATATGAATCAACTCCAGAAGTTCAACGGTTCCAAAGAAGCCAGAGATAGCAGTGAGTAAGCACACAACAGTGTACAACATGACAACCTCAACCAAGAGGTTGAACCGAGTGGTTCTTCAGCCACGTCTGCGTTTAGTTCCCTGCTGGAAACTGTATCACATTGACATCTTCTTGAGCTTCTGGCTGTGGAAAATAACAAGAAAATACACACAAATTATCACCTCAGCCGCAGATCAGTTGCAGGTTCCTCTACAAGCTATAGCACCTACTGAGAGAATAGCTCATGTAGAAGGGACACATGATATGACCATCCCTGTGAGAACTCTGAATAGGAACAGCCATGTATGACAGGAGGTGGAAAGGCTGAGTTCAGAACTGCCATCAGAAGCAGCCTTCAGGAGATGTGGAGGTGCAAGAGAAAGACTTCTATACGTGCTCTGTTTTCAGCCTAGTAGTATTTAGATATTTAGATTCATACCTCAGGAAAAGAAGATGCTTCTTCACCCAGTCTTCCTTAGGATTTACGCAGGCTTTCAGTCCCCTGTTGGTGTGGAAACTGGGAAAGAAATAATGATAAGGAGATTGGTAAATAAACATTAGAAATCAGTTATAAAAAATACTCTGAAGCTGCATTTAATCAAAAACACGTATCATAGTTACTCTATGTAAGGAACAATAGCACCTGCTTTAGAAAATATTGGTTTGATAAGGGATGCTCCACAATGCCTTCAATCTACATGAACAATGTAGTATTGTTCCAATTAAGCTTACATATAATAGCTTCAATCTGTTTCTTGCAACATAAAATTGTGATCAATTTATTGTAATTATTGAGACCGAGAACTTTGCTAGGTACAAGAAATACCTTGTGAGACTAAAAAGAATATTTGCTGTCATGCTAAGATGTCAGATAAACATTTAGGAGGGCTAAAACATTAAGGAAAAAAATTCTGATCTCTGTGGATTAAGAAGTCTCACTTGAGTTTGTTACATGGTTTATGCAGGGTTTTGTCAAGGAAACATTCTGTGTTGGCAAGGTACCTCAGGTAGAGGGTCAAGGACATCCTTGTCTGCACAGTGATTCCTCAACAGACTTATTACGTAGAATGATTTTATGGCTATCCCATGAGTTAGTAGTCCCTGTCTACTGAAAAATCACATTTCTACAATTCAGATCATTGTTCCTACTCTGACAGACTTCCTAAGGTTAATATATGACTGTCAGAAAAAACAAAAAACAAAAAAACAGGATCTTCTGAAAAGCAACTTACATGATGGCATCAATATCGCAGACTTCACCAGAGAGCTGTTCACTAAAGCCCTTAATGACCTTCCGAGGCAGACGGGCTTTGGTGTAAGACAGACAGCAATCTTGGTTGCTTTGTGCTGGAACAAAAAAACAATTATGTCAATAAAACCCATTTGGACCATGTTGCCACGCTGCCTAGATTATTTGTTTTCAGTTTCCTAACTATCTAACTCCCCTATAGTTGTATTAAGCAGTATGCTTTGCTGAATTAATTCCCCTCTCCCTTATACTGCTGCTAACATGCACACCCTAACACAGCTGGCATGGTGCAAAGTAGCACAAGAACTGCATCCTGGGGCAGAGTGCCCAAGCTTACTCACCCTGGGAGGTACTGCACAGCAGCAGCAGCCCCAGCAGAGAAGCCAAAATCAAACTCTTGGTGCGGAGACCAGACATTTTCATTCTAAGCAGCAGCTGTGCTCCAGTGAGTGCTCCTTCGCTGCCTGCCTGTGCTGCCAGCCTCAACACTTCTCCACCTGCTTATAAAGCAGCTGCCAGAGCCATGGGAATTCACACGCGGGCGGGTTCCGCTATCATCACTGGGTTTCCCCACGGCAAATTCCATCATGCCCGATACAACCTGAGTGCTTCTTCCTGATGCTATAACCAGAGATAGCGGCATGCTGGGGACTTTTTTTTTTTTTTTTTTTTTTAAGTAGGTTATAAGATTCAACCCAGAAGAGGAGGAAATAAAAGGTTGTGAGGTAATGGTTCTGTGGGTGAAACATATATTTTTAGGGGTGGGAGTGTGGGTTGTGAAATGAAGAAAGTAAAATGTAGGTAACCAAATATTACTTAGAGAAGCTGTGTCTTTTCTGTGCCCTAGTTTAATAAACCCAACCTGGGCGCAGAGGAAGGTGGGCCTAGTCCAGATGGGTTCATCTCAGTATGGTATACTCTGAGAAACTGAGTGACTATCCTTAATGATGCCAAAGGACGAAATTAGTATTTACTGGATGGCCAACACAGTAACATCAGATCTTCCAGATGACTGCTTTCTGAGCTCTAACTGCAAAACTTCTTGGGCTCCATTGAGCATGCATGGAAATGGGTTTGTTTAGAGTTTCTTCTACCATATACTCACTGTCATCACTTTCTGTCCATTTGTTACACATCTGAGCTATTCCACTGGAAACAGTCTGTACTGTTCGAAATGCATCAACACTACTTCATAAGTCACAGTTGTATCTGCTTGCCTCCCCAGGCCAAACTGCACTCAAGTATTGATTACTCCTGAACATTCAGCCAAAACACACAAACATTAAAGTGCCTCGTGTGGATCGGGAAAAACCCCTGTAGAGAAGCAAGTACACTCTGAGCTGGAATTAAAGATTGTGCTATTCCCAGTGCCATTTAGTGACCCATGTGAAAGGAATGTGATGGCTGCAGGCCACATCCTGGTCAGATGGAATACATAGAAGTTGCTGCCAGCTCCAGGTAGTTATGGGCTAAGCTGAGCTTTCAGTGGCTTCTTCTCCTAAGTTAGAGCTCAAGGATGCAGTCATAGTTCGTTCAGAATTACATACCTTCTATTCTTCATGGACTGTCAGTACCTCTCACAAAATGTACATTCCTGTTTTTCCTTACTAAAAATGTAAAATTTTAGAGATAAATAAAATTCAACTTTAGAACAGATTTATATTCAGATAAATCCATTTCTCTATATAATGGCCAGAACTCAGGGAAGCTATGGCACATGCCTTGAACACACAGGAATGCTTGTGCTCAGTGCCACTGCCATTGGTCAAGGGACAGGAAAATAGGCAAGAAATATCCCATACTGCTCTATAAAACTACTTTATGTATCATGGTAGAATGCCATGTAAACAAATAACTGCTAAAATCACAATGCTCTCAGTATGCCTTTTGATCTGTTCTATGCACTAGCTGTCAGCACTAGCCAATGCAACAAAATGCCTAACCAGAATGATAACAACTGAAATGACAGAACTCTACGTTGACAGCTTTCTATTTTCCTTAAATATAATAGTTAAACATGAATAACTTATTTCTAAACTAACAGACACTAAGAAGTGTCAAGTTGGCAATGAAGGATCCTCTATCATCCCCACTTTTTTTTTTTTTTTCAAATGGTTGTCTAGTGGAAGCCTGTAATTTTTCTTTTTTTTTTTAAAGCAGGAAGTCACACCATCTGTCAATAAGATATGAAAATTAGGCATTGGGTTATCAAACCTCATTCCTCTGTTTCCACACTCCTGTTTCACTCCAGCATTGAAACTAGAAAACACTCCAGCTGCCTTGGAAAGAGAATTTTCTAAGATTGTTGAAACATTTTCTCATCTGTAGATTAGCATCATGATCATCAAAAGCACTAAGCAAACAGTAAGCTAAAAAAAAATTACTTGTAAAACTTTTTTCTGAAAAGGAGATCCATTTGTCAGAGTTCTCTCACCACAGCTTTGACCCCCCCTACTAATCCTAATTAAGTACAAGCAGTTTGGATACTGGAGCAGTGATGCAACCCAGCTAGTGCTCAGCTCATATCCCTGTCCTTGGGCAGTTTCCATCCCGCCTCCGGTTCCTATCAGAGCCCTTTGCTGGTGCTGTGCCTAGTGTCACAGATGGCAGCTGTGTCATGGGTGTATTCCTTTTACCTCAACGTTCATTTGATTTAAGAAATTAGATCGAGGTGTAAAACAAAAATCATCATAAGGAACTCAGACTCAGAGGAAAATGTTCCTTTTTTAGTACTTAGTTTGTACAAAGTACCCTCGATTTATTTGCACAAGGTAGTTAAAAATCAACAAAAGTTGCAATGCAAATGGCTGAAGAAAGCTGCCTGGCAAGTCCCGACTTACCTAGCTCATAACCATATCTTATCTGTCTTCACATTTACAACATAATCATAGGGAAGGGGAAAAAAAAAAAGAGAGAGAGAGAGAAAGGAAAAAAACTGGTAAGTTTTACATCTTCAAAGAAAATGGAAACATGGGTTCCAAGCTCCAAGGCAGCCACTAAAGGTCTGCTGGACATCTAGTGTGGGTGGCCAGTGCTGGGCCAAAAAAAATGCATTTAATGTCCCAACGCTTGATGTAGTTCGGGGGCTGCACAGACAGCCCTACAGTAAAGGGCCACGTGATGAATGCAGGCCAGCAGCACTCCCTGCACCCGTCCCACACCTTGCTGCCTCAGTGAGGTGCGCCATCTTGGGGGAGGCCGCAGCTGTGTGGGCAGGGCTGTGCCCAGAAGTCTCTTTGGCAAAGCACAAGAGGCAACAGCCATAAGCTATGAGAAGGGAAATTTGTATCCCACAATGGAAAAAACATCTTCACCATCTTCACATTGATGGTGATGAGGCACTGGGACAGGTTGTTCAGGAGGGGAAGTGAAAGCTCAGTCTGAATACCTTAAAACTTAACTGGCCACAACCCTGCCTTAAGCGTGATCTTTTCTTTGAGTTCCTCCCCAAGCTATAATCAAGCCCACATTATTATTATTATTATTTTTTAACCTCCTGATATTTCTGCTAGGACTGCCCTCTTCTTCTTTCAGTTTTCTAGCTTGTTTCTTCCTGACATTTCTTTTGTTACAAGTTTCTTGGCTTTCTCCTCTACTATTTTCCCTCCTTAGATCCTTTCACAAACCCTCCTCTCTCCCTGTCGATAAGCTTGCAGTAGGACAAAATGCCAAAGCATAGATCCACAAAGTTTTCAACTTCTCTTAAAATTCCTCTGCTTTTGTTCCAGGGGCCAGAAAGAAAGTTGGGGAAGCACACCACATTCCTACTGTATGTCTTTTAAAAGATGATGTGAAGGCAGACTAGATGCTGAAGCTGCAAAACAGTTCAGTTAGATCTGTAAAAAGAGCAGAAACAACAGGGAAAACAGAAACTTTTCTAGGGTAATACTGGGAAAACAGTAGTTCTGAGCAGTTTGAGGACAGTAAAACACAAGATCTGGGAAGACAGCTCTCAGGCTCTGGCTGCAAAGCCACTGCCTTCACATCCCCTCTTTCCTGCATCAGGAGACTGCTGTGTCCACATCATGTGCTGCTTCTTTTATCCCAAAGGGCTTTTACCCACAACAGCATGATCTGAAATTCTGAAGGGACTTGAGAATTGAACCTTGATAAACAACCCTGTACCAGTTGAAAAAGGGGCATTATTTCTAAAGGACAAGCATGCCCCATCACTCTCCATATCACAGAGCAGTGGAACTTAACAGTGCAGAAGCAGATCTGATTTTCCCAAGTACATATGAATTCCATAAATGAGACTATGTGTGTTTTCATGCAAAGTTGTGCACGTGAGAAGCTGCATACATATGGGTAATTTAGAACTGCTCATGATTTGGAAAACAGCTTGAAACGTTTTGAAAATATGGGCCCACAATGGTAACCTGTTTGACTAAGTGGTTCTGCTATGAGATTCCAGAAGTCATACAAGTGCAAGGCCTAAAGCATACAATTAACTACCATTAATATTTTAACACAGAAGAGGGATTTTATTAATCACTGGTTAGTATGCCGCAGCTTATAGTCATTGTTATATGGGCTTAGGTCTGATAGCAAATAGAATTGAAAAAAACATCTTTTACCTACAGTAATGATAGATACGGCCTATATCTAATTTTAGACCTGTTGTCTAAAATTAGAATTATACTGACAATTTTTGATTGACTGGTAATTTACCAAAACTTCCATTTTTAGCTGTCTACACAAAGAGGTATTCTATTATATACTACTGTCCTTGGATAGACTGCTGAAAATAAATAATTATAGCAACGTGGTTGATCAACCAGGAAAAGGAGAACTAAACAGGAAACTCCCTTCTGTAATTTCCAATTGCTTAAAACAGAGCAAAGGGCAGGAGAAGGCACCAGTTCAAAGGAACATAAAAGCAGAGCCAAAACAGGAGATTTAGACATTGCATAATCCTCAGTGATGAAATATACAATAAATCCCAAGCACAAAAGTTCCACACATAACTTGTTCAGTCTCTCTAATGTTACTGTGATGCAACAGTGATTTCATTACGTTTAGCACTTGCATGAAAAATCCTTGTGTGAAGGAAGAAACCAGCTTTCACTCAGTGTTACACCTTGTTAGGAACACTTCTACAAATAATACTGAATGAAAATGGTTTGATGAACTCATGGACAAATCATATGCCTGCTGGATGAAATGAACCTCTGATCTTATGAGAGCGCATGCTATGAAGAGAATGGTATGATTTGATTTATCATGGTGCTGTTTGCCTGCTGCTTCTTACTACAGAACCGAAAGCTGAATATCTGGTGTTCCACAGGAATCTCTCTCTAGTTCAAAACTAATGTTATTCTGTCCTATAGTCCCTTTTGGCATTCAATCACCTTTTCACAGAAGTAGACCTCTGAAAGTTGAAGGCAAAAACCAAAATTGGAATGATGGATGAAAAATAGCCCCC